TTAAACATGTAAAGCAAATTTTGCCTTAAGGAAGATATAGGTATAATATTTACTAGAAAAGGAATTAAATTAGAGACTACTAACAAAATATCTAGGAGAACCTTGACTATTTGGAAGTCTAGCAATGTAAATGTATATAATTATAGGAGAGTATTCACAGAGAATTAATTCATAAGTGATAGTTTCCTAGGAAAACTAGTAGTTATTAGTGATTATGTTAAAAAAGACAAAACTTACCCCCACTGGCTGCATTTCCTTGTCAGCCATGAAAGGAAGAGCAGAGCAGAGTCCATGAAAGGAATAAGACAGACAGGAACAGAAGTCAAGAAAAACAAACCCTGAAAAATGTTAATAATAATAAAGCCAAAAGCTGGATCTGTGGAAAAATAAAAATTCTCTACAAGATTGAGAAAAGAGAGAATATAACCACCAATATTAGGCATGAAGAGGGTCTCAGCTTGCATGTTCTACACATTTGTAAGGACTTACAGACAGCTGTATTTCACCAAGTGGTGAGCATAGATGAAAATGATAATTTCCTAGAAAAATATAATTATTAAAATCGACATAAGAACTAGGAAGTCCAAAAATCTCTGTCTAGTAAAGAAACATTCCTACAAAGAATCTTACATGGTTGATTTAGAAGAAAAGTGATACTAGAGTGACTGAAGTTATCAATTATATTTCTATGTATTAGTAAAATAGGAAAATTAAAACTTAAAAATTCCACTTATAACTGTTAAAACCCCAAGATATTTAAAAATATAAGAATAAAGAAATTAATAAATCCACTGGAATGTAGTCTGAAAGTCATGAAGCATCCCTAAGATGGAACTAGATGGATAAAGATCTGTGTATTAGAAAACTGATACTATTGAGATGTTCATTTTTTACAGATTGATCTAAGAGTCTGTCCTTTCCTAATCAGTTTTTGCCAGGTTTTTGTTGTTTTTCTATTGCAATTGACAAAATGACTTTAGACTGTACAGGAACTATGAGTGGTATGTGCTATTCCTGGGCAGACTTTAAAGACCAGTGTGTTCTTATCCCTTCTGGTTCTCCTGACTCAGCAATCCTGGAAGTATTTAAATGTCATTTGGTTCTCAACCTGTGACTTTGTTGCTTGCAGAAAACCCAAGATTTCTGAAATGGTCTGCAGTGTCACACAATTTGCAAGTCTTTGAAGCTAAGCAAGGTGTACTAGCTTGCCTGGAATTTTGACATCTATATTTTAATTTGTCTCCTTTTAATAGAGACAGGGTTTCTTTGTGTAGCTCTGGGCTGGCCTTGAGAGATCCACCTGCCTGTGCCTCCCGAGTATGGGAATTAAAGGCCTGAGCCACCACTGCCTGAACTACTGTTTTCTTATATTCCCACCAACTGATGAGATTTTTTAAATACTTGCCAGTCTGATAAGGGACAGATCCTTTATAGTGAAAGTAAATATAGTGATTAAACTCTGAACTCCCCATACAAATGGGTTTTGCTTGTGTTGTTTTGTTGGTTGCTTTCATGACTATTCTACTTGTATTTTCAGTGACTGATCCTGAGGCCTGTTATATTGGCACTGAGCCATGGAAACCTAAGGAAGCATTGGAGGAAAATGGCATTATTACTGACAAGGCAGATATGTTTGCTTTTGGCCTTACTCTGTGGGAAATGATGACTTTGTGTATTCCACACATCAATCTTCCAGATGATGATGATGAAGGTATAAATACAAATAGGTTTCAACATAAATCTGAATTTTTCAAGATTAGTACATAAAATTCTTTCCACTAAATTAAACAGTTGTTTAAGATTATAGCAATACTGTGATTAATTGGCTAGATTTAATCCTATATAAATGAGATAGAGATTGATAATAGGAAGGGTATTTCTCTCTCCACTCATGGGTTCTCATTTTTTTCTTAAATCTACATTGGGTGGGTGGAGTATCTAATTGGAACAATGTTCTTAACAACTTTTTGCTGGAGACAAAATAGCTAAACTCTGTGGCAGGAAGAGTTGAACAGACTGCCTGTGGTCTAGGGGAATGCATACTGGATAACCTCTCTTGTTACAGGAGGGTAAACCATTGCGCTATTCCATGACCTACATGATTTGTTTTCATCTCTAACTTCATGTGCAGATGCAACCTTTGATGAGAGTGACTTCGATGATGAAGCATACTATGCAGCTCTGGGGACAAGGCCATCCATCAACATGGAAGAACTGGATGAATCCTACCAGAAGGTCATTGAACTCTTCTGTGTGTGTACTAATGAGGATCCTAAAGATCGCCCATCTGCTGCACACATTGTTGAAGCTTTGGAACTAGATGGTCAATGTTGTGGTGGTCTAAGCTTGAAGCATAGCTTGTATGGGAACTGTTAATTAGATGTGTTTAGTTAATATAACTTATAGTACCTAGACACTAGAAGTAGCTTATTTTAGGACCATTGTACAGTTACTCTTTGCATAACTTTCTGACATGTTAGTTCTTATATATGCACTTATTATACTGGATAGTCTATGAAGTTTAAGAAACTCCAGGTATCTAGATGCTGCCTCTGATTTAAACACTAGAGACCCCTGTCTAAGATGACTTAGAATCAAGGGACTGTTGCTTTGTTAAAGATTTAGATATTCTTGCTTCTTTAATGAGTTACTAAAATTTTCACTATATATGGTACACAGTTAATCTGTCTGCTCATAGTGTCCACTCTTTTATCAGCCCATGTGCCCTGGAGTTGAGAAGAGCATGGTTCAGAAGCATAGCTCCTGGGGTGTTTCAGACCCTAGTTACGGTCTTGCCTCTCTCCACATCTTAGTGTCTAACTTAAGTTTTTACTGACTGTATCCTAAGTCTTTTAATGTTAATGTAAGAATAAACAAATAAAAGACAGTGATAGTACCAGGCACCTCAGCATTATCTTGTTTTTGTTGGTGTGTTAACAAAACCATTTGTGGAATGGTTTCTCAACCTTGTTTTCTTATGTATAAAGTGAGGTTGTGTCTGCTGAGTCACACACAGCTCCCTGCAATTACCAGAATTAACTAAAATGGTGAAACCAGGTGACTTGGCAACAGATAGGAAGCGTTATCCTCTAGAATTTCCTGGTAGGCTCCTCTTAGGAGTATACCAAACAGATCACTAATTAGTATATTGTCCATCGAAACAGTAAGGAAATGACATCAAATTGAAAGTTTACTTATGGAAAAATTGTGTAAGTGCACACTGAGACTCAGTAGTCTTATCTGCCCCTTCTCTGATGTGTAATTTTAAGTCACTCTGCTCAAGTGACAGGTCCTATGTACTGGCCATAAAGCATGAATTGGCTCAAACATAAACTGGCACTTTTTTTTTTAAAGATTTATTTCATGTATGTGGGTACACTGTCGATGTCTTCAGACATACCAGAAGAGGGCATCGGATCCCCATTACAGATGGTTGTGAGCCACCATGTGGTTGCTGGGAATATGAACTCAGGACCTCTGGAAGAGCAGTAAGTGCTCTTAACCACTGAGCCATCTCTCCAGCCCCCTAAACTGGCACTTTCATTGAGAGATTTATTCCTAGCAGTTCCTATAGACACCCCATTTTCCACATATCACTGTACCTGTCATAATAAACCAGTACTGAAATACAATTCAACTCCATTCTTTATTCAGATTTACTGTTCAGTGACTTTTTCTGCTCCAAGATCCCACTCAAATGTCATACTTGGGGATTGACTTAAGTTTCAGATTTGTTTTTTATTGTTTTTGAGTTAAGGGTATGGTGGTTAGGTATTTTGTACAACGTCCATTGGGACTTGTCTGATGTTTAGTTCATGTTCACATCGAATTATATTTGAGAAAGGTAAATACCCTTCTGATGTAGCAAACCAAATATCAACACAGTAACATGGTTGTTGCTGTTGTTGGCAGGGTACCTGCTAATGCAATACTCATTTTCCTCCTTTCCACTGCTATACTTCCTTGGGATATGTGGACTTACTGTTGTTCATAAATTTTTTAGTATGGACTCAAATTATCACTTCATGTGGTACTTGCAGAAGCCTGGCTATCTGACTTGGATCCTTGGAAGCTATGGTAGGAGAGAAGTGACTCCCAAGGGTTGTTCTCTAAACCTCCTTGGAGGCACCTTGAAATGCATTCATGCGCACACACATACACTAGTAACAATCATAAAAAGCAACTGTATTTGATTTCTCGCAAGCCACTGAACAATGTTAATAAAATTTATAATAGAAGAAAACAACAGAGTGGGTCAACATGGCCAAGAGAAACGAAAACCATGGAGGCCATCATGAAAGAGATACAGATGCTGAAGCTAGAAAAGCACCTAAGCAGAAAAGTGCAGAAGACAAACTCGAACAAGTGGAAGAGCAGCTGATGCACCTCCTGAAGAAATGAAACACATGGAGGAAAAATGGAACAGAAGCTCTAAGGTCCTGAAGAAGCAACAACAGGAAGAGAAGAAAGTCCCCCAACGTCTGGAGCACTGACTTAACTTCCAAAAGTCTGTAATCAGAACAGATTTCCTTTTCTGGTGTTTCAGAAGACAGTGTATGCATATAAATAAAATAAATAAAGGAAGAAAGAAAGAAAGCAAAAAAAAAAATATTTAAAACATTTAAAGAGATTTTCTGCAGAAAATAGCATTAAATGTTTGCATAATTATAGATAATTTTAACACTTCCTCACTATTTTTGGAAGTATTACAGGCAAATTAAACTAAAGATGAACCAATTTTACAACAATAATACAAAAAAGAAAAAAATTCTTCCTTTATGTCTCATACCAGGTGTCAGTTAAATGACCTTTAAGAATTAAAACAACCTGAATTTTCTGCTTTACAAATGAATATCCAAATTCAGAAAATCTGAGTGCACTTAGGTGTACGAAGTATTCCATAAAATCATTATGTTCTTCGGTTCATTAGTCTGATTCATGACTTCAAATTACCTACAGCATTTTCATGTAATAAAAAATCAGATAACAGTGCCAAATAGTCTTAATTCAATTTTATGATAAGCATGCTTTTTATTAATTTTCTAAGGGATTATGAAATTAATATGGAATAGTTGATGAGATAATTTCTGCTATCTTATTACAAATCAGAAATACTTTTAAGTATTTTCAACTTAGCTGCTACAGTATGCTTTGTAAAGCGGGATCGCTCCATAAGGAATTCAGGAATTATCTCACGGCCTGTGTTTAGATTTGCCTCTACTGATGGAGCAGGAGACAACCATGGTCTAAAAGTGTGTGCATGTGTTCCTTATAAAGTGGCCCAGTTTCTGCAAAGCCACCTTGCTGTGAAGCTTTTCAGAATTAAGAATTCAGAGTGTACACAAAGATTTTTTTCTTTGAATCCCAAACAATTCTCAACAAATTATCACATAAAGAAAAAAACTGGTATGTACATGTGTACAGTCTTAAGATTTTCATTCTGATACTAATTAGTTTCTCTCTAGCTGAACGTTTCCACATACCAGATTTGTGGCTGCAATTGGCTTTAGCTATGAAAATTATATACAAGGAAATTAGGGGTGTTGCAGTACTTGGTTGCAAATAATTTGCCATCTGGTGTTGGGTCAGAAAATGCAATTTCATTAGTGCTGAGGAAACAGCCAAACATGAAGCAATTCCTACAGGAAAAAAAAAAAGGGAAAATACCATTTATCAACTAAAATTTTGGATTTCAATTAAACATTAATACAACAATACAAGCTACAAGCAATTGCCTTAAAACTACTATTATTTGATAACAAAATGCCTTAGATTTAGAGATAAGAAACTCAAAGGTCCACAGAGTGAAAGGAATAAGAAAACCAAGAAATATAACCACTATACAATATGATCCTGCATTAAAAACAAAAACTAGTGGAGGATATTTGAAATAAATGAGGAAAATGAAACCTGGACTACCAAGAAGACAAAGATGATGTTGATATTAAGTTTCTTGATTTTGACCGTTCTGTGGTCATTTAAGAACTTAAATGTTTTAAGAAAAGTAAATGGGAGAGGGTGAGGGCGGAGATAGAAGAAATGGATCACTGGTTAGTAGTACATATGTATTTGTGGTAGTTTGAAAGAGAATGGCCCTATAGGTTCATATATTTCAATACTCAGTCTCTAGTTGGTAGAATTATTTGGGAAGGATGAGGAAGTGTGGCCTTGTTAGAGGAGTGTCAGTTTTGTTATTTCAAAAGCCCATGCCATTTCCAGTTAGCTTTCTCTGACTCATGCTTGTCGATGAGATGTGAGCTTTCACGTACTGCTCTAGGACTGTGCCTTCCAGCCTGCTTACTGATTGTTATAGAACCTAACCCTGTGGAACCATGAGCTCCCAAATTAAATGCTTGTTTTTATAAGTTGCCTTGGTCATACTGTTTTGTCACAGTAATGTCTATAACTGAAATAGTACTGCTCTCAGCCGGGCGGTAGTGGCGCACGCCATTAATCCCAGCACTTGGGAGGCAGAGGCAGGTGGATTTCTGAGTTCGAGGCCAGCCTGGTCTACAGAGTGAGTTCCAGGACAGCCAGGGCTACACAGAGAAACCCTGTCTCAAAAAAACAAACCAACAAAAAAAAAAAAAAAAAAAAAAAAAGGAAAGAAATAGTACTGCTCTCACAGAGGACTAGAGTTTGGTTCCCAGTACTCATACTTGGCTCCAAATCTGATATTCTCTTCTAGCCTTCAAACTCTGCACCCACATGGCTTATACCCACACAGACATATGTACAAACACAGACATAAATAAAAACAAAGACAAAATGAGAGGGGCACAGTGGTGCATATTTGCAATGCTAGCAATTAAAGCAGAAGGCCAGCCAAGGCTAATAATAAGACCCTATCTCAACCATAAACCCAATTTTAAAAAAAGGAAAGAAAGAAAGAAAGGAAGGGAGGAAGGAAGGAAAGAAGGAAGGAACAAGAGAGGAAGGGAGGAATTACACTTAAGCTTGCCATGGGATGTATATCTAGTATTTCCTTCTAGGGTTAACATCTGCCTTGGTCTGACTTTGACAGTATTTATAAATAAATGTTTTAGCAAAATTCTGTTTTGCTTGTGAGCCAAGGAAGGTTCTGGGAAAGCTAACAAGTCATTGTGCAAGGTCTAAAGCTATTCTGTCTCCTTACCTGACAGTGTCAACCAGTCGTCTTGCAATGCGCTTTCTTCTTTTTAGTTTGAAGACCCATATTCTACTTATTCCACAAATAGCAGGTTCTGGTACATCTGAACACCGCCAAGCTCTAGAACATTCTTTAGTGGCAGTTGGTTCTGACAGGACACGAAAGGCCTGCAATAACAAACAGAAGTGTCTAAAACTGAACACACAGACAAGTTGACTTTTCTTTTAAAAAGCAAACAAAAAATCCAAACTTTAAACAAAACCTGTTTATAGTTAATCTACAAAAAATATTTTGTGACTCCTTAAATCATATTTATTTATACATGAGTGTTCCTTCTGCACATATGTATGTGCACTTGTGCACTTGATGTCTGCAGAGGTCAGAGAAGGTACTGGATCACCAAGATCTGGAGTAACCAATGGTCATGAACCACAGGTTGAAATTAAACTAAAAACCTTCAGCACAGGAAAGGACACAACATGGGGAAAGACAACTTAGGAGAAAATATCTACAAATTACATATGTCAGAAGGCTAAAGTCCAAAATATACAAGGAACTCACTGAATAGCAAGAAAATAACACAAATTTTAAAATGGAACGGTCCAGCAAGATGGTTCAATGGGAAAAGCACTTGCTGTACAATACTGACAACCTAAACTTCCTCCCAGATCTCCCAGTGGAGAGAACCCACACATGCCACTCCCATACATCACATACACAATAATAATACCAAGTGGGACAAGGGCCTGACTGCACCTTCTGAAAAAGGACATATAAGTGTCTCAGGGGTGTTTGAAGAAATGTTCAATATTACCATAAACAAGAAAATGCAGACAAGAATAAGGAAGTATCTCAGCACGTTAGAACGATTATTATGTAAAAGTAAAAAGTCTTGGGCAAAATAGGGAACAAAGGGAATCCATGTGTACAGCTGGTGGGAATCTTGTCATCTGTGGCAAACGGATGGACCCACACACAGTACATTCCAATCAGCCATCACAAAATGGCAGATCTTGCACAATCTAACAAATACAGAATCTGAAACTTGTCAATGTTTCATTTAGATACAATAAATTCTGCCTCCATGTTTATATGTTTAAATGTATAAATGCATCTATATGCATGTATAAGGTTATAGTTAAGCTGTAGGTAAGCCACACCCAGTGGCACAGGCCTGAAACATGTACATGAGTCTGATCATAACTTCAAGGCCCACAGAATCAACTTGCAGGGAATTTCTTTCAAAAAACACAACCTGCTGTTTTAATCTATGATGACATTATGAGTTAACTAAATCAAAACAGTTAATATTTTTATCGCCATACATATTTTCCTATGAGGAAAACATTTAAGGTATAATTTTAACATTCTTTTTCTCTCTCTTCCTCCTCCTCTTCCTCCTCCATTATTGTTGTTTTTATTTATTATTATTTATTTTTGAGACAAGATTTCCCTGTATAGTCTTGGCTATCCTGGAACTTGATGTGTAGACAACGCTAGCCTCGAACTCTGAGATCTATCTGCCTCTGCTTCCCAAGTGCTGGAATCAAAGGTGTGTACCACTGCCTGGCTAACAATTTTCAAGTATGTACACACACACACACACACACACACACACACACACCACAACCTGGGATCAAACCTTGAACGCTGTGGATGCTACCCAAATGTTCTACTGTTCCTTTGGGTTCTTGTTAGTAAAAGTGGTTTCTTGGCACTCTTTCCCAGCACCAACTTTATTAGGGTATGACCAACAAATAATTAACACATTATTTGCTCTTTACTGATAATGTACACAAACTGCTTTTCTCTAACTTTTAATAAGAAAACTGTTTTCTAGACCACTGGTAATTAGTGTCTAAAGTAGATTGTAGTTGGGCATACAGACATACACCTTTAGTCCCAGACTCGGGAGGCAGAGGCAGGAAGACCTGCATTCCAGGCTAGCCAGAGCTACAGACACTGTAGCTTTATACTAAATAAATAAATAAATAAATAAATAAATAAATAAATAAATAAAATATTTTAAGTGAGAAATGAGTAATGATTATTTTATTAAATACATCTGCTGAGCTGTGATGTAATAACTTAGGTCTACAGATTCTTACATAAAAATCACTACATTTTTATACTCCCAGATAGGGAAATGGCTACACAAAAACAGACTTACTCTGCTTATATTTATATTATAGACAAAATACTAAACACAACGTAAGTGAATGAATTTAGTTATAGTCAAAGACATTTAATAACATAAAAGACACACAACATACCTGTTTGATGGGTTCCGCAATTAAACATCCAACTACTCTCTTTTCATCAATAAAGAGGAAGGTTTTGGTTTTGTTTGGATACATGGGAACAACCTGCTGGAAACCCAATTCCAGATCCACGAGTTCTTGGACATCTTCTACCTAACAGTGTTAAAAACCAGAAGGTGAATTTCTTTTAAAAATCACAACAAAAACTAAATATGTGTATCCTTATGAAATATGATCACCAATCATTTAGTTTTTATCACCTCTATTTTCTAAAATTATATTCTCTCAAACTTATGAATTGATGCATACACCTGGTACTTAGGGAAAAGAATACTTTTTTTTTTGTCTTTTTTTTTTAAGAATGCTTTTAACAGACATTCTGAATCCTAGCAGACTGGAGGAATTGGAGCCCCAGGCAGACTTGCTTTAGATTTATCATTCCTGTTGGTGACATGCAGCTCAGGAAACAGAAGCAACACCAACAGAGAACAAACATCTGACCAGGACTCTGTACAAGCCAGTATGAACACTTAAGCCCATGCAACAAGGAAGGCTGCTGGCACACTAGGAAAGCAGTTTACATTTACTGATGCTTCTCTTGGGAGAAGAGAGGAGAAAAACAACCCCATACATACCTTTTTGATAGCGTAACTTGGATCATGTGGCAGGACCAACACGATCTTCCCATCCCAAAACTCTGCTACAACCCGTTCTCTTTTCCAGCCCTGACAAAGCAGAAAACATTGTTAATTTATAAACAGACCGCATAAAATACTTTAGTTAGAACATGGCAGATGGTCAAGCAACAAATGACAAAAAAATGCAAGATGGAGATTCTGGCTTTGACTACCCATGGTGTAGACCAGTGGTTCTCAACCTATGGGTCAAGATCCTTTTCACAGAAGTCACAAGACCATCAGAAGTATCAGATACTTACATTCCAATCTGTAGCAGTAGCAAAATTACAGTTAGGAAGTAGCAACAACAAAAAACCTGTTGGGGGTTGCTCTGGTGCTGTTATGCATTCATATGCTAAATTCTGTACCACAAGATCTGATTGCCAAGGGCAAGTGAATTCTCACGTGCACCAGCTTACTAGCTTTTGTTGTGCAAAGTTTGCTCCCCAACTTAAAGTTAATTGGTTAATAAAGGCCTATGATTGGGCAATAGGGAGAGAAAAGCAGGACTTGAGGATGGAGTGAGGGGTGTGAGGCAAAACAAGAGAAAGAGAGAAAAGAAGAAAGCGAGGAGGTCGTCATCAGCACCTGGCCAGGAGAAACAGCAAAGAGGGACACGTTGTCTGGGATGTAAGTGACAACAGCTCCAAACCTGCCAATCTAGGCTCACAGCTTGTAAATAAATACAACTTTGTGTCTTCTATATGGCCTAAATAGAATTTATAATTTTTCTTACAGTAATCTTGGCTTGGGGGTCACCATAACATGAGGAACTGTATTAAAGAGTCACAGTGACTATCCTCTCTGCAGTGAATGGTACCCATGGCTGTTCAAGGTGCTGAGAACAAGGTACTGATGAGTGTTTAGCTCATTTATACCAATCCCTCCAAGGCTCAGAGAACATTGAAGAGGAGAAAATATGAAAATTGAGGAAGAAGCTGGGGAGCTGTGAAGTGCCATCTTCTGGGTATTACTCAGCAACTATATTTCTGAACTCATAGCAGTTGTAGCCTGCACTGGACCTGAAGAAGACCTGCTAAACTATCTGATGTAGGCAGCTAGGCAGTAAGCCAAGTTCTAAGAAGTAGATCATAAAGAGAGGATACAAATGGGCTGAAGAGAGAGAAATAAACCTAGATAATCCTGTGGCTCGAATGCTTTTTCCTTTCATGAATTCTACATAGGTCTTATCCTAGATGATGTTTGAATGTGAAATGTCTCCCACAAACTAATGTATTTGAATACTTGCTCCCTTGCATATTCCCTTATAACTCTGGGATGCCTATGCAGCCACATCTGGTGTAGCTAGCACTCTTACTCTCTAAACCTTTTCTTAAGACAGTGTCTCACTCTTACAGCCCAAACTGACAGACTGACTTGAAACTCACTATATACCCAAGACTGAATCTGAACTCACAATGATCCTTATGCCTCAACCACTCCCTAAATGCTGGGATCACAGGTGGGAGCTAACATGTCCAGCTAGTTTCTACCATGAGCAATGAAATATTTATGGATATATAGATCTTTCAACAATTATGGTACAAATGCCTTCTTTCATACAGTTATAACTTCAGAACAAACTGAAAGACTTCTTGACTCACCACATATTTAATTCCTTCCAGAAATCTGTGGTGATGTTGGAGATGTTGTATTTCATCTTCAGGGTTGGAAGCAGTATAGATCATGCCACAAGATTTACACATAGTCGTCCCAAAATGTTTCTGACCTGCATCCTACAATTGAAGAACAAGCAAGCAAGCGAACAAAATCATAAACTCAAAGAACTGGGTGAATAATAGACCTTTAGGAAGGGCTCACATAAAAGACCAAGAAAAAGAAAAGGCCTCATTTCAAACAGAAGGGATAACATTCTGTATTATTCATAGTGTTTTTTGCCTTAAGTCGTCTGGAGTGTTAAATTCTTTATCTGTAATTATTAAATTCTTTGCCTCAACAGTTGATACAGCTCTATGAATTCCATTCTCATACAACATTGTTTTTAATGTCATTGAAAATACTAGATTCTGAATTATTTAAGACAGTGATTGGCAGTATTTCTGTGTAAAGGTAGAAGTAAATACTTTAGATTTTTCAGACCACGTGTGATCTGCCACTGTTGTATTTGAATAAGAAATGTATTTGAATACTTGGTGCATGGCTGGTGGGCTGTTTGTGGAGATTATGGAACCTTTAGGAGGTGCAGCCTCCCTGGAGGAAGTCCATCATTGGGGGTAGGCTTTGAAAGCTTATAGACTTCTTCTTGCTGTTTCTGCTTCCTGTTGAGGCTAAAATGTGACCAACCAACGTTCCACTCTGGCTGCCCATTGTGTTTTCCTTATAATTACGCCCTCCCTTCTGGAACCAGAAGCCAAAACAAACTTCCTTCTATAAGTCATGGTAGTTTATGTACCAATAAAAAAGTTAACTAATACAGTTATATATTCTTCTCTTTGCTTCAAAACTTCTGAAAGCCTGACTTGGAGGCACAGGCTTATAATTACAGCTGCCTCAGAGGTGGAGGTAGGAAGATTTAGAGTTCAAGGCCAGCTTGGACAACTTAGTGGGATTCTGCCTCGAAAATAAAAGCCTTTGGGAGTATAATGTAGCTTAGTGGCAAAGCCTTGCCTATCCAAGAATGAGACCGTCAGACTCAATTCCTAGAACCATAAACAAACAAAACCACATAAAAAACATTAACTAGCCGGGCGGTGGTGGTGCACGCCTTTAATCCCAGCTCTTGGGAGGCAGAGGCAGGTGGATTTCTGAGTCTACAGAGTGAGTTCCAGGACAGCCAGGACTACACAGAGAAACCCTGTTTCGAGAAACCAAAAAAAAACAAAAAAAAAAAACCATTAACAACCTTTTTGTTTTTTTGGGTTTTTTTTTTTTTTTTTTCGAGACCGGGTTTCTCTGTATAGCCCTGGCTGTCCTGGAACTCACTCTGTAGACCAGGCTGGCCTCGAACTCAGAAATCCGCCTGCCTCTGCCTCCCAAGTGCTGGGATTAAAGGCGTGCGCCACCACCGCCCGGCTTAACTACACTTTTCAACTCATAGATTATATAACTGAATCCAGTCTACAGCCATGGGTTGCTAAACTTAGTTCTAATTTAATGTTGCTATTTCCACTGCATCTTTTGTTGATCAAGAATTTTCTTACCTGAAAACAGGCCATTCATAGCATCCTACTCAAATACTAGCACTGCCCAAAACTGTGAGCGCTAAAGTACTGGCTAGCTTTGAATGCTACCACAACAAAACTGGCCATTACAAACTTGGAAATCTACAAGCCAAGGTAACCATTCTAAAAGGCTGACTGCATGTGCTGTGTGTGGAAAGACCTCTGTTTTAAATTTACTCACAATGATGAACTGATCTTTTCCTCCTTTATTTGTATCTCTGGAATTAATATTTTTCTGTACATTTGTCTGTTTCAAGAAATTAGTACATGTAGTGGATCCCACAGGAGAGTGTTCTTCAGGTGGAGACCTGGAAAGACAAAGTTAGTAAATATGGAACAGTGAAAAACTCCAGGTCCCAGAAATAATCACTTACTCAAAGGAACGTAATGAGTAAATTCAGTGTCAAGACTCAAATCCAGATCTAACTTAAAGCCAAAGAACTTTCCTCTGTAGTCTTAGACACACATATAAAGAATTGCTCTGGAAGCTAACTGTACTTTAAAAATGGACTTTTCTTTCTTATGACAATATCTACTCACTTAAGTATAAAGAAATTCTTAGGCAGATGTTAATGTTGAATTTTACAACCCAAGGCAACCATAATCAACAGCATATAAGGATCCAGCAACATGTTACTTAGGTGCTTAAGTGAGAAATCCTGACTCAAAGTACAGTGGCAGCTCCTTAGAATATCACCCAGGGTGACCACTGGCTTCCATAGGCTTGTGTATATACATACACAAGTGCCCACATCAATGTATACACACACACACACACACACACACTCACACACACACACACACACACACACACACACACACGCGCGCGCACACACACACACACACACACACACACACACTCACATGCGCGCAGGAGACTAGGCCGAAAATTTCTTTTCTGAATGCCTAGTCATTCAAGAACAAATGGGTGAAGAAAAAACAATTAATTTTTTTTTTTTTAGCAAAATGTTCAGACAATACAAAACTTAGACCTTCTACTTGTCACATTCTCTACCTACACACACCACCTCCCCATTACAGTATTTAGTTAGCGACAGTCATGACTTAGAACAGCACTAAACTACTACTACTTACTTCTCTGGCCACAATTTCTCCCTTCTGTAAAATGGAAGCTACTAGTACCTATATCATGAGTATAAATGTTCATTAAAATTTAGTTATTCTTCATATATTGTCAACTATGGGAGGAAATATAACCCAATGGGCTTTTGATTCAAATGTGAATTCTATTTCTGGCCCCAGCTCTGAGGACCTACTAACTGTGCAATGGTGGCTAAATTCCTCAGTTTCCTCAGATGAATGATTACAATTATAACAATACTAATCATGTTTACCTTCTAGATTGTCTGAGGATCTTTTAGTGAAATAATAAACTAATTACTATAGGCTAGGTACTATGTAATAATATAACAATTATTTTACTAAAGTCCACAAAGAGCTATTCCATCTGTATAAAAAAAAGGCACTAATCTCATCTTCTATTCTCAGTATTATTATTTCTCCTTAGTGGTAAAGAAAAAAAAAAGATAGCATTATATGAGAAAAAAAGAAATCTATATAATTAATAAAATTAGAACATAAAGCAAAAATAATTCCTACCTTTTTGTGTTCACTGAAGAAACACTGAAGATGGGATAGACAGACTCTGGAGAAACTGTTAGGGGGAAAAGCAGCAGAAGGTTGTATTATTGAATAATATCTGAGCTCTGACTCATAAAACTCTGAAGGTTAATAAGAACAACAACAACAAAAAATGCACACTGCTTGACTTCAAGAGTCAACCATAATTAAGACAGTACAAATTGCCAAAAAGAGACAGGTAGGTCAATGGAACAAAAGAGATCAGAAACTGACCCAAACAAATAAAGCAATGATTTTGGCAGAGACAAAGATACTCTTTAGGGCACCCAGTCAAAATGGATCACCAATCAAAATGTAAATTACGTGTGTTGGTGCTGGTGCATGCCTTTAATCCTAGCACTTGAGAAGCAGGTGGATCTCAGAGAGTCCAAGGGTAGCCTGGTTTACAAAAGAAACCCTGTCCCAAAAGGAAAAAAAAAAAAAAAGGCCGGGCAGTGGTGGCGCTCGCCTTTAATCCCAGCACTTGGGAGGCAGAGGCAGCCAGATTTCTGAGTTCAAGGCCATCCTGGTCTACAGAGTGAGCTCCAAGACAGCCAGGACTACATAAAGAAACCCTGTCTCGAAAAACCAAAAAAAAAAAAAAAAGGATAAATACTGGATTAGAGATGTCAGTGTGAACTCATGCTAAAGCATGAGGAGGAAGACTCACAGGAACAACTGCCTATGCTCTCCAGTCATGTCTGGAGAGAGGGCCTGAGAACAATGGCACTCTAGTAACAATTATACCCAGACACTGCCCAGATCTTAACTTCCAATGAAAGGAGTCAAGGTTCTGTGGAGAAATTGCTGGTTTTAGGGCTAGAGCAAGGAAAATACCTAATGAGTCCAAAGCATAAGAAACTAAGATAGTGCTCAAAAAACAAAGACGAGACATGCCAAAGGGAATTAAGCTGAAAACAACCCTCATGATCAAAACAGAATAATTTCAACAATAAAAATCTATTGGATTTAAATGCAAAAATAAGCATTCACTTACCATAGTGACACATATCCATGAGCTCATTGGTTTAAGTGAAGGAATAAAGAGAGATAAATGTGAGAGGGTCTAACTCCCTAGAGAGCATAGTAGGGTTAAGATGCCTCAGCAGACAAATTTCCTGAGGTGGAGGACTGATACTAAGTTCAACCCATGGAATAAAAAAAAACAACAAAAAAAATCAAGATGCAGAGTTGGGTGGCTAGTACTAGTACTCCCTAGTACTCCCATGGAGTTAGAGAGAGGAGATCATCACAGACGCCACAGGCTAGTAGTAGGAATACAGAAAACACAAACAAGAGACCCTGACTAAACTCGGTGGAAACAAAAAAGCCACTCCAGAAAGTTGTTCTCTGACCTCCACACATGCACCATACCATAAGTGAGCTTAGGAAATAGAAATAGTTGTCAGAGATTACCTAAGGATAAATGTTTCCGTTGTCCAAAGCTTTAACCTTAAAAGCCCCTTTCCTACTTTTCAAAACATACTGCTTCACCATAGACTACAATTTCCCAGAGATAAACAGATATTAATGATAGACAATAATTTTTAAGAAGGCCCAGAAAATATTGGTATATATAAAATCTTATATTGATATGCACAATAAAGCACTGCTACAAATTGCTAGGGTAGTTAATGCAAACTTTCTTACTTACTTGTCTTGTTCTCATCAAGTGAATTCTCTGAAGGAAAATTATGTTTATCAAGTTTATATTCCTTTGAAGAAACTACTGCACCTGAGGAATTCTAACAACAATAAACAGGTTAACAGAAATAAAGAAAATCCCTAATCCTTCGTTGTATTTCCTTCAAGTGAACAAATCTCAACACATCACGTGTAATACTTCACAGCATGACTCATCAAGTTTTCAATCTATTTTTTCGAAAATTTCCTCTGCATTCATTGAATATGGTTCATCTTTTAAACATCACAGAACAGACATAGAGACTGCAATACTTGTAAAAATGCATGCTTCAAGGGTTGGAGAGATAGCACAGTGGTTAAGAGAGCTCTGGCTACAATTCTAGCCAGGTTTGGTTCTCAGCACCTACTTAATGGTTCAACTGTCTGTAGCTCTAGTTCCAGGGAATCCAGTTCCCTCTTTTGGCCTGAGGGCACTTATACACAGATGCACATACTTATCGAGAGGCGAAACACTCATACACATTAAAACTAATAATAATTTTTAAAATGTATGCTTACAGATGAAGATGGTGTAAAAAAATTATATACCATTCTTTTCATTATAATGAAATTAACTTTTAAAAGTTAGCAAAAAATGGAAAAAATATCAAACTTTCTCTTAAGCTAGTAAGGGAAACAAATTCTCATCATGAACTTAAGACTGGTAGTTTAGGTTGGTAACGCTCCTGCTATGCAGAATGAGGACCTGAGTTGAACCCCAGCATCAATTTGTGCTTGTAATCCATGGACCAGGGAAGAAAAGGCAGGCAGCACAGTTGAATCCTGGGCTAATGAAGAGTCCCTGTCTGAAAAAAATCCAAGGTAGATAGATAGCACCTCAGAAACACTTGCCCACTGACCTCTCTCTGCCGTGAATAATAATAATAACCACATTCTGAAAGTCATTAGAGGGAGTTTTGTCCATAACAGTTCCTACTATTTAATAGTAGCAGAGAAACTACAAAAGCAAAGTAGAAAACTTCCTGCTAACATTCCAGAACATACTACCTAAAGCCAAAGAAGAAGCCACATTTTTTTTTCTACCCATCTTTAACTTTATACTTTCTGGTTTTATAAAGGTGGCTCTCCAAACTATAAAGAAAATCAAATTTCATTCACTTATGTGATCTACGTACTTATATACACATAATTTATATCTAAGCATTATTAAATGGCCAGCTGTTCTTAAATGATACATTTAGCTTTACCTTTCCCAGTTTCTCTTCATTTTTACTTCTTGCATCCTGTAATGATTTCTCATCCACTAACAAGGACTTTGGTACTTGCTTTGCCTCTGGAGCATCTTCAGTGACCTCTGGTTCATTTTTCTGCAAATGTATTGGTAATGGCTTATCTTCCAGACGTGACTTTTTAGGAGAGTTTCTTTTCCTAACAAAAAATGCTGCTCCACCTTGGAGTGTAACTTGTGGTTTTATTTTCCGGCTTAGAACCCGAGGAGGAGAATTTGGATAATTTTCTGCTGGAAAACAACTGTTCTCTTTGTTCACAACTGGCTTATAGGTCACTTGATTTGGCTTGGGATTTTTCAGGCTTCTTGGTATGGACTTGATGTGCTTATAATTTGGTTGATATTTAGCAGTTAAACTCTTCTGGGTTTTTTTATTCTTCTTGGTACAGACTGGTTTTCTCTGAATGTTTTCTGTCACACTGGGAAAAGGTTTATCTCCATTTTTAGTTGCTAGACAAATAGATCTGCACTCTCTTATCAACTTCCTCTCAAGTGGATTGAGGTAGTACTTATCTTTATTGTAGAAAGATACAGTAGACACAGCTGGTTTAAATAATGAGCTGTAGTTTGCAAATGACAACCTATTATTTTCAGTTGTTTTGAGTGGACTTGAAGTGAAATGGCCTTGGTGGGAGCAAGACCTGTCTTCCCTTTGAACACTGCTTTGACAGTTATGTTTCTTATTAGGCGATGGAAACAGATTTTCAGCAATCCTTAATTTGCTTGATGAAATATCTGTTAATAGGCTACAAAATGAAGAGAAAGGAAAGTTCACTGGTAAATTTGTGGATCTTTTTCAAAATTTATTTAGATCCACCAGTAAACTTCTCCCTGCTAGTCATATAAAAATAATGCACCCTCCCCATCGTCTGACACATTATCTATTAGTTTAACAGGGTCCTCAAATACTGTCTTTATGAAATCATTTCAATATGTTTCTAATATATATAGCATTCATAAGCTGGGTGGGGTGGCACACACCTTTAATCCCAGCACTCTGGAGGCAGAAGAAGGAGGAACTCTGTGAGTTGGAGGCCAGCATAATCCATATGAGATTCAGGACAACAAAAATTACATAGAGTCCCTGTCTCAAAAACAAACAGGTAACACTCATAAAAGAAGTGTTTACAAGGAAACTTTGATATACAAATAAATGTATTTCAAAATCGATTTCTCTGTCTAGGTTATATAAAAATGATCCCATACTAGGTCTGGGCATGGTGGTACTTATCTTTAATCCCAACACTCAGGAGGCAAATGCAGGAAGATCTCAATTAGCTCCAGGCCAACCTGGTATTAAATAGTTAAGATTGTTTCAAATAAACAAAACAAAATGTCAAAGGGCTGGAAAGATGGCTCAGCTGTTAAAAGCACTGGCTGTTTTTCCAGAGAACCCAGGTCTTATTCCCTACACATGGTCCCTCACAGTCTGTAACTTCAGTCTCTGTATGGGCATTGCACACATGTGGTACACAGACATAAATGCAGACAAAACACTCACATGCATCAAATAACTTTTTAAAAAAGATTTATAAATTATTCTACATGTATTTTTCCCAATTAGCTACTAAAATACCCTATGATAAATTTTCTGTAATAAATTTTCTCAAAAAAAAAAAAAATCCAGTCTCTGGCAAGACTGGATTTTTCTTTCTTAAAGAGCTCATATGTATAGGTTAAGACTTACCTATCATCATTGTCATCATTCAGTGTATGTCGCTTCCTCTTCCTTGGAGTAAAGGTTGCCATCATCTTAACTAAATTCCTAAAGGCAATAAATATGTCAGTTATAATAATCAAAGTCATCAAGTGGATAGAAAATGCACTATGTCAAAATTGTATTTCAAAAGTCTGGATTCGAAATAGGCGATTGCAAATAAATTCCCAAGGGAAAATTTGTTTTTGAGATAGTGCTTCAGATAGCAGAGGTTAGCCTCAAATTCAAACTCATTCACTCTGTTGTCAAGGATAAACTTGAACTTTTGAGCTTTTAGGACTGGAATCACAAGCTAAGCCACCAGGTCTGGCTCCAAGAAACAGATTAAGAAAAACAACGAACACACACACACACCAAAGGACCCCCAAAAAGTCAGGTGTGAGGGTGCTAATGGGAGGCCAAGGCAAAGGGATCCTGAGTTCGAGGCCAGCCTGGGATATAGGGGCCTCAAAAAAAAAAAAAGAAAAAAAGAAGAAGTAAAGCAGTAAACTATTTATCAGAGAGTTAAACAGTGATAAAAGAAGAGAAGGAGGGTGGCTTGGGGAAATACTGCGCTTACAGTAGACGTGAGCAGGGAAATGTAGGGATGCGTTTCTAGCTGAAAGATGAGCCTACTAACGAGGCCAGGTGGACTCTAATTAGGGGTACACTTTAAAGTAATCACTTCAAGATTTACCACTCCTGTTAGGCCTTCTTTGGCACTGCCTTCCTTCCACTCTGCCCGCTGATGGATGCTTGTCACCATCTCCTCTCGAACGCTATGCCATGCCTCTTCCATATTCCACTTAGCACACTTTCTGACTAACCAACCATCTTCACAGCCTGCACGTTCAGTGAAGGTAGAGCCTTCTTGGAAATCTGAGCAAGGTATGGTGGAAAGGACAGTCCTCTTCACAGGTCCTAGTTGGGCTCGCTTGCAGGAGCTCCCTTATTTTTGAACGACCCTGACCTCACTAGGCAGCTGCTGAGGAGACACAGCAGGAAAGCCTCGTCACCTTAGGGAGATAATTCTAGAATGTTCTTCCTTCCTTTCCCCTTCCTTTTGGAAGGGTATGTCAGTCCCGCAGAACTCCACAAGCGCGACCTCTAAGCCAAACAGAAAGTCTACGGGCAACAGAGAAGACCTCTCCTGGCTGTGTGAGAGAGAAGCCTGGCACCCGGAGCACGAGCCCCGCGTGAGAAGCAGGCAGCGTGCCACATTCAAGACCCTTGCCCCGTGACGTTACCTTCGTTCCTCAGTTTCCCTCTGGACCCGCGTCCACTTCTGCGGGGGACCCACGGAAAGACCTCGGCACCTCAGCAAGCGTACAACCCTGCTCACAGGACCCGGCGCTCTGCCAGTGCGTTCAAATTAACGCGCGCTACTTGAGACTAACGCTGCTGCGTTTTGATTTGTCGCTGCTCAGCGCTCCCTAGAGCCTGCGCCATGATTGGCTTCTCGTTAGTCCTTGCCCCGCCCTCCGGCGAGAAGGTCTGCAAGATTCTCCCGCCCTTGAGAGGCAAAGCTAGTGGGAGGTGAGCGGTGGGGGGGAGATGGGTGGGGGAACAAGGAAGCCACACCTCCTAAAATCCTGCAACAACTTCTGGCTTCAGACTGCCGCCCTATGAAAATGCATTCTGGGAATTGTAGTTTGTGTATCAGCTGACTGCGAAGTCAAATTCTGAGGCAGTTTGGTGTAAACAGCTAACATAAATTGACATGTCCAAGACACTGGAGGCTCTTATTTTTCATATTTGAAGCCCTATTGTTGGTTTTGCGTTTTAGAAAAACCAGTGAAATTTTAGGTTTCTTTTTTTTTTTTTTTGGTTTTTCGAGACAGGGTTCCTCTGTGTAGCCCTGGCTGTCCTGGAACTCACTCTGTAGACCAGGCTGGCCTCGAACTCAGAAATCCTCCTGCCTCTGCCTCCCAAGTGCTGGGATTAAAGGCGTGCACCACCACCGCCCAGCTAAAATGTCTGCATTTATGTGTTTTTGGGGTTTTTTTTTTTGTTTTGTTTTGCTTTGTTTTTTTGTGACAGGGTTTCTCTGTATAGCCCTGGCTGACCTGGAACTCACTCTGTAGACCAGGCTAGCCTCGAACTCAGAAATCCGCCTGCCTCTGCCTCCCAAGTGCTGAGATTAAAGGTGTGCACCACCTGCAGTTTCTTCCCCCTCCCCCCCTTTGGTTTTTCGAGACAGGGTTTCTCTGTGTAGCCCTGGCTGTCCTGAAACTCACTCTGTAGACCAGGCTGGCCTCGAACTCAGAAATCAGTCTGCCTTGTGAGTGCAGATATTCAGAGGAGTTGAATTTCCTGGATCAAGTTTTAGACAGAGGCCACCAAATGTGGGTGCTAGAAATTGAACTTAGGTCCTCTACAATAGTACCTTAATAGTTGAGCCCAATCTCTTGAGCTGGATGCTTTACATATTTTAATTCACATACTCTTCACACAATCTATGAACTTTGTATTATCATTCCTCCTTTACAGAAAATGAAAATGAAGGCCTGAACACAATCGATATTTATAGGGAAGGCCTGTGACACTCCAACCCAGCACTGCTTTTATCAAGTGTCTTTTGGCAAGCAGAAATGTTCTTAAAACACTCACAGGCTTTTAAGGAGTTATCAGTGTCTAGTAGTCTTGGACACATGTTTAGTTCTAAATAAGTTTGAGTGATGCCCTTTTTCCTAGAACAAAGCTGGCCGGAGTGAATTGACAAATGACTAACAGATATTATTGGCTTTTCAGGAATCATGAATGGGTCAGTTTCTGTGTTACAAGCCAGAATAAAGGTTTCCATTAGGCAATGGTAGAACACTATGTTTTGTTGAGGGAGATGTCTTTGAAACTGGGGCCTCACTACTCCAAACTCCGCTACAACTCTGTCTCCTGAGTTCTAGAATCCTGACTGTAATAGTGCCCATACCTTAACAGAACTGACTCCATGATGAAAGTGTCAGTCAGGCTATAAAACTCAGCACACAGACAGCACCACTTGCCAATATGAAAACAAAGGCCTAGGCCATCAGAGTCCATAGTTTTGGGAAAGTTTCTAAATGTACTAACCTTGCTTTTTGGCTTCTGTAGTTCTTGTTAACTGAAGAATGTCAACCCAGAACATGGGGTGTGTGTGTGTGTATGTGTGTGTCTGTGTGTGTCTGTGTGTTTAAAAGCTCCCCCTAAGAAAGACTGAGAAAATGTTTTATTACTGGGATCCCAAACAGCCAGTGTCATATCTGCCCAGCTAAAAAAGACTTTCTATGGGCTTAAACCCATATTGGAGCAGTCTTCTCTAGAGGATACTCTACAACATTGACCAGAACCAGGAGACCCAGAATAATAGTGGGTTTTATAAAATAAAAGAACAGGACAATAGGGGAAACTGGCTAGTAAGAGACTATGGCTTGTTTCTTTTGAGAGAATTAGCTGGTCCTTGGTGGTGCACGCCTTTAATCCCAGCACTTGGGAGGCAGAGGCAGGCAGATTTCTGAGTTCGAGGCCAGTCTGGTCTACAGAGTGAGTTCCAGGACAGCCAGGGCTACACAGAGAAACCCTGTCTTGAAACACACACACACACACACACACACACACACACACACACACACACAAAGAAAAGAAAAGAAAAAGAAAGAATTAAAGCCAAGGAGGGAACTTTTTTTTTTATCATGCAGGTTCTACTTGACTGGAATTTCCTGTTTTATGAAAGTCTAGGCTCTCCATGGATGGTAAAACTCCTTTTCTGTAGCACTTTTGTTTGGTCTGTCTTTTGGGGCTTGTTGGAAGGGTACAGTCCAAAATGGACTCTCATAATTTTTCTTTATCAGAAGTAAGAAAAACAACCAAGTCAAACCTAGGTCCTGTGGGAGAATTTTGTAAATTTATAGCAAGAGGTTCTGAACTTCAGAAGTTTGGTATTTGTTCAGTCTTGTAGGTAATAAGGAGCAGACATTATATTTAAATGAACGACAGATAGCCTGAGACCAAATCCCAATAAGCATAGTGCCTCTGGGAAGTAATAGTGACAATTCCTCTGAGAACCTTCTGCCTTTGATGCAATTTAGTTAACTGTGGCAGGGCAAGACAGTGCAGCATTTCTTCCATCTTGTATTCTTGCTGAGGCCGTCTCTGGTTTAAATAGGATTTGATGGAAATTACCCAGCTCTATTCTGACTAGTTTGGTCAAGGCAACAAAAACAAACAAAAAACACAACAAAATCCTCACCTATGTCAAGTAGCAGGAGAATGAGTTTATTTAAAATTGGTTCTTACTGAGTGCCCTCTGAGGAAATGAGTACAGGAACCCTTAAACCATGCATGAAAAAGGCAGTTTCTGCATTCATGGAGCCCATATTGGGTTGAATGGGAAGCCAAATAAAAAGCAATGCAACCCTCGTGATCACTTAGTAGAGCCTCTGAAATTAAAGTCTGCCCATGACATTTTTCCTTTATGGTTTCAAACAAGATGTGTTTTTCCATCTGATTTTCTTCAACCAGTTGGCTTCAGCGGAATCCTCAAAATCCCCGGAATACTCGCCCTTCCGCCAACACCCTTCCTTTCGCCAGGACTAAAGATGGCGCCGACAGGACGGCGTTGTGACGCGACCGCACGTCCGCCGGAAGTGTCTGGAGGCGAGCCTGGAAGCCGGCTCACCCTCTCGCCGGTGGTATCTCGAGCTTCGCGTTTTGAGCAGGAGTCGCCACTCTTCTACCAGGATCATGGTGTTCTACTTCACCAGCAGCAGTGGTGAGTGATGCCGGGGCCCTGCCCGCAGCTGCCTCCAAAGCCGGCATTCCCCAGCCGCTGCTGGGCTTGGACTTAGTCCTGAGCCGCGTCCTCCCGCGGGCGCCTTTCCCAGAGTCTTCTGGTTCTCTGCTTGGCGGTCCCCTCGGGTGCCTGGTCATCCCCTGGTCCTGGTGGTCGCGGTGGGAATGCGCCCCGCTTTCTTTATACCCGGTAATTATTCTCATCCCCACTTGACCGACCCGCCAACGCTTCCTGGACTTGGGCAGTGTGTGGGTTCCTGGATAGGCCGCCCCCACCCCCACCCCTCCTGGCGCAAGCCTTTGCCCTCGCATTCTGCTCACAGCTTGGAGCGATACTTGACCAGCGAGACAGGTGCCAGCAGTTGTCTCCTACAGGAGGATTACCTTGCCCTTCTCTGAAGGGCGAGCCTGGGATGCCATGGAAAGCTATAGAAAGTTAGAATGTTAGTACAACCCCTCCCTGGGCAGAGTTGATGTTCCAGTTGACTTCTGGTAATACTGAGTTAGTTTTGGAAGACCAGAAAGTGCTGTTTTGGTTTCCAGGAAATGCCGCGTCAACTTAGTTTCTCTGACCATATTGCTCCTTTTATCCAGAATCAATTTCTAATTTTAAACTCTCACCCCATTAAGATGACTCTTGACTTTTCGAAGACACTGTGTGAGACCCAGTTTTCTTGTCAAGATTAAATAGACATTTTTCTGGACCCCTTTAACATTCCTTTAGGACTGCTCTCATGTGGCTTTAACAGCTGCCTGCTTGAGCTCCGGGGCAGGTCTCTACATAGTGCCCTGCTTACATAGTTGGCTGCTGTGTTGATTTTTCCCCCCTTTCTTGAGACAGTGAGTGGCTCAGGTGGCTTCAAACATAGACTCTCCTGCCTGAAGGCTCCCTAACGATGGCATTACTTTCTAGGTCCCCCAATCTGGAGTTAGTGTTTGGTGATTTTGTCTCTTAGTATTTTTTAGTTTGTTTATTTTTGAGACAGGATCTCATTGTGTAGCTTTTGCTGGCCTAGAACTCACTGTATCGATCGTGCTGGCTTTGAACTCACAGAGATCTGCCACCCTCTGCTCTTCCACCCTCTGCTCTGCATCCCCAGAGCCAGGATTAAAGGCATGCACTGCCTAACCTTTCATGATTCTTTTGATTGAAGAACTATTTTGTGAAGTGTCCCTCAGTGTGTGAGGTTGTTTCTTTCTTTGTTTTTCTTTTTTATAGTTATGCTATTTCTAAAAATGATTCTATGTCTGTATGTATTTTGCCTACATGCACATCTACACACCATTTGTGTGCCTAGTACCTATCAAGACCAGAAGAGGGTGATGGATCCCCTGGAACTGGAGTGACAAACAGTTGCTTTGTCTAGTATTCCTGAAGTCTGGGTTTGATCTGTAGTACCACATAAACTGAGTGTAGAGTCCATTCCTGGAATCATGTGATTCAGGAGGTGAGGGCAGAAACCCCTGGCCTTCTAAATGTATGGTCTCTTAACTTTTGTTTTTTGAGTCAGAGTCTTCAGATAGACCAGACTGCTCTGAACCAGCCTGTGTAGCTAAGGACAGCGTGAACTCCAGACCCTTCTCCCTCTCAAATGCTGGGATTATAGGGATACAACACCATCACTGCCCTCTGTGTGTTCTGCTCAGTGGTACAGACTTGCGGGCCAACCTTGTTTCTATCTTACCAGGCACTGTGCTTTGTAGACTGAAGACCAAGTCACAAATTTAGCTCCATTCAGGGTTGCTGTGTAGCTCTGGCTGTCCTCGAACTCACTCTGTAGACCAGATTGACCTCAAACTCAGAGATCCACTTATCTCTGACTCCCAGGGGCAGGAATCTGTTTTTAAATGTCTGCCGTAGAGATTGTTGTTCATTGTGGGGACTGGTTGTTGCTATTGTCATTATTATTGAAGAAGGCAAAGGTATAGGACTGCCATTAAACTTTATCCCTAAAGGGAAATAAAAAATCAAAAGGGCTATTTCCTTGAAAAGGAGGAAAGTAACCATTCAGCAGTAAGGATTGTTAAACGTCTTCTTTGGGGACAAGATATTATTTTAAGCTCAGTAAGACTTGTGCAGTCTCTATAGTTTAATTTTGACCTGCTGCTATCAGTCATTTAAAAGGATACAACTTATTCTTAACTCAAAGGGTGCTTAAGAGCAGATAGGTGAGCCAGGTGTGGCCCATGGACCTGCTTTGCATCCCCACTAATTGTCTTTTTATTTTTGTTTTATTTTAGCTAATTCGTCTACTTACACTATTTACATGGGAAAGGATAAATATGAAAGTAAGTTTCAAAACAAAAAAAAAGCATTTGATTTTGAAATTTCAGGCAGGTAAGTGCTGTTCCTGTGCCATGTTTGTTGGGCTTATGTGTTTTGTTACTGATTTCTTTAATTCCTTTTAAAAATTAGACTTGAAAAACAGTTGCCCACATTTTCGAATACAGTGTTTTGATATATGCACACATTGTGTGGTGATCAAGTTGAAATCCATAACATATCTGTCACCTCAAACACGTACTATTCCTTTGCAGTTAGAGTATTTAAAAATCCTGTCTTCTAGTCACTTCGGCATATACTTTGATAACTGTATAACTGCAACAGAATTCCAGAAATGCTCCTAACAGATCATTGTTTTACCAATTGACTAGTCTCTCCCAGAGTTCCCCAGCCACCGATAGCCTCTACTTCTTTGAGGTTTTACTTTCTGTTTCTCTTCTGCTTGTCCTGTTCAACTGGACCTGGCATGTAGCTTAGTTGAGATGTGTGTCCCTTGTACGTCTGTAATCCCAGCATTATAGGGGATAGTGGAACCAAGGGCCTCATGAAGGCCGAACACAAATGCTATAACTAAGCTATATGCCAGATCTAGTTGAACACTTTTTTTTTTTTTTTTCAAGATTGCACTCTATAGCTCAGAGGTTTAGAAATCATAGCCATCCTCCTGCCTCAGCCTCTGGAGAGCTGAGCTTACAAATATGGGTCACTCTGACTAGCTCAAGTTGACCTTCTTGGTGGTCAAGAGAGCATGGAGTTTTGCAACACTGATCCTCACAGTGAAAGTGAGAGAAGCAGAACCTCAGAAGGAGCTGGAGAGAAAGAGTGTCATTCCTCAAGATTGGAAAATACAGGTAATGTGAGGGTTTAGAGAAGACAGCTGTGAAGTCATGCCAGAATCAACTCCCCAGCAAACAAGCTGCAGTTACACAACCTTTTCAGACCTCTGAGTTCTTAGAAGAGGCTCATGGGCTGTAGCTACTGCAGAGGGTTGTTTATATTAGGGAAAAGGACCTGTATGCAGTGTGTCTTAGTTAGGGTTTTACTGCTATGAACAGACACCATGACCAAGGCAACTCTTTTAAAGGACAACATTTAATTGGGCTGGCTTACAGGTTCAGAGGTTCAGTCCATTATCATCAAGGCAGGAACATGGCAGCATCCAGGCAGGCATGGTGATGGAGAAGCTGAGAGTTCTACATCTTCATCTGAAGGCTGCTAGCTTCCAGGCAGCCAGGACTGGGGTATTAAATCCAATGCCCACAGTGACACACCTACTTCAAATAAGGCCACATCTCCTAACAGTCCTACTTCCCCGGGCCAATCATATACAAACCTTCATATTCTACACCCTGACCCTCATAGGCTTGTTCAAACTGTCTGTGGGGGCCATATCTAGCCATAGTATAATTTAAAAAGTACATTTAGTCCAAGTTCCAAAGCCCCCACAGTCGATAGCAGTATCAACAGTGTCAGAAGTCCAAAGTCTCGTCTGAGATTCATCCAAACACATAACTGTAATCCTTGAATCAAGACAGGAAACCAACTGGACAAACTCCAAACTCTGCATCTCCATGTCTGATGTCAAAGCAGTTTTTAAATCTCCAGCTCCTTTTTGTTGACTACAACAAACTTCTTTTCCTGGGCTGGTTCCACTCCCTGTTAGCAGCATTCCTCGGGAGATATCCTATGGCTCTGGCATCTCGAAATCTTGGAGTCTCCAAGGCAACTTTAATTTTACAGCTTCTTGTTTCAACATCTGGGATCCACACATGATCTGGGTTCCTCCAAAGGGCTGGCATCACTTCTCCAGCTCTGCCCTCTGTAGCACTCTACGCTCAGGTTGGATCCACTCCACTGCCGCTGCTGTTCTTGGTGGTCATCCCATGGTACTGGCATCTTCAATACACTGGGGTCTTCCGCTGCAACTAGGCTTCACCAATAGACTCTCATAGGCTCTCTTTCATGGTACCAAGCCTCAAATCCTTTACATGACCCTTTCAGTCCTGGGCCATTGACTGCACCTGAGACTATACCTTCACCAATGGCCTTCCAAGGCCTCGGACGGTGCCAAGCTTCAGCTGTTATTCATGATGCCTTCAAAACCAGTACCACCTAGGTGACTCTTACCCATTATCAAGTACACCTGCAGCACAAGAGATACCTTGGGTATCTCTGGAACACAGCTTCTTTGTGCTCTCAGAAAACACTTCCCAGAAGATTTCAGTTCAGTGATGCTGGTCTCTTCTTAATCACCACTAATTTCTTAGCTCCAGCTAACCAGCATCAATTGTCTCAGTAGTCCCTTCTATTTTTCACTCTAAAGGCAGAGCCACAGGGTTGAAGCTGTCATGTTCTACTGCTTGCTGGGCCTGGAACATGGCCCCCTTATTCTGTTATATTATCACCAACTCCATCACTGCCTAAGCTTGGCTTTCCTGGAAATTGCTCTGTAGATTGGCCTTGAACTCAGAGATCTTCATGGCTCTGTCTCCTGTAATGCTGGGATTAAATTTGTGTACCACCATGACTGGATTTAAGCTTTCTTCACCTAGAACACACTTTGTCCCAGGCTGGCCTTGCACTCAGAGATCTGTTTGGTTTTGTCTTCTGGAATTAAGGTGTGTACTACCATGCTTGGATCTAAACTTAGCTGGATGGGATCCTGCCCCCAAATCCTTTAATCTGTTATCTCCTAGAACACAGGATTCAGCTCCATTTCATTTCCTGGTGCCCCTTTAATGCTTGAACCATATATTTTATGTTTTTTCCTTTCTAAGCTTCCTACACTTGTTCAAAACGCTCTTCATGAGACTTAATTAGAGTCTCTGCTGGGCTTTTTTGAGACTTCCTTTGTTAATGCAATTAATCTAAATCTCTTTACCTTAGAAATCTCAGCAACGCCCGGGCAGTGGTGGCACACGCCTTTAATCCCAGCACTTGGGAGGCAGAGGCAGGAGGATTTCTGAGTTCGAGGCCAGCCTGGTCTACAGAGTGAGTTCCAGGACAGCTAGGGCTATACAGAGAAACCCTGTCTCGAAAAACAAAACAAAACTCTCAGCAACAAATATTTTTACTAGGATAGCCCATTAAGCCCCATTTAAAGCATTCCACTGCTTTCCAAATCCAAAGTCCCAGACTCCACATTCTTCTAGACAAACGCATGGTCAGGCCTATCACAGTAATACCCCAGTCCCTGGTACCAACTTTTCTGCCTTAGGGTTTTACTGCTGTGAACAGACACCATGACCAAGGACATTTATTTGGGCTGGCTTACAGGTTCAGAGGTTCAGTCCATCATCATCAAGGTGGGAGCATGGCAGCATCCAGGCAGACATGGTGCAGGCAGAGCTGAAAGCTCTACATCTCCATCTGAAGGCTGCTAGTGGAATACTGGCTTCCAGGCAGCTAGGACTAGGGTATTAAAGCCCATGCCCACAGTGACACAACCACCCCAACAAGGCCACACTTCCCAACAGTGCCACTCCCTGGCCAAGTATATACAAACTATCACACAGTGCTTACCCCATAGAAGCACTCCTTAGTTGGTAGGCAGATCCCTGGAGCTTCTTAAGCTCCCAGATACCACTTCCTACCTTGCGTCTCTGGGAACATCCCCTGGGGTCAGTCTGAGAGCTGGTGGTCACACTATTGTCTGTGTATAATCTTTTGGTACTCCTTGTCTGCTTTTCCAGTTTCTTTCTAAAACTGTCAGTATCTAGTTTGGTGCAGCTTGACATTGACAACAGTTAGAATTTGATAGTTTATATGCATTAAAAGAAGCACACATACCATTCTTCAATAAGATACTTGACAATAATGAAACAAGTCCATAATGGGTGCTATGAAGCAGAACTGGTAAGATCAAGACTATGTGAAGTGAGAAACAACAGATCACAGCAAAATAAAGTAGCTCATGCTTTGAATCAGTCTTTCATTGCAATGTGTGTATGGCATTGACCAAGGTGTGACCTAATGGTAAGTCATCCATATTATATTAATACTCAAGTTTTAGTTTCTCCTTGTAGCCCATAATATCACTGGTCCCAGAGGAAAGGAGGCTGTCTACTGTTCTACACTGACCAGCAAGCCACTGCTACAAGAGCCATAGTTACTTAGAGTGGATATGAAAGCAGATTGGCTACCAGATGTGGTTTTCTTTCTACTACATCAGAGGTGGAGGAGCGTGAGACTACAGCCACTGGGAAGCACTTATAGCCAGGCTGCTTCATGAGAGATGCAGGGTTTGTACTATATAACCGGGCTGTGGGGGAGCTTTACGTATTTCTTAAAGGCCTGCACTGTTCTGGTTCACATGGGTGGACTAGCGATGGTCCTGACATTTCGGCCTGTCTCTTGTCCTTCTGTGGTTGTTTCCGCTTTATGGAGGGCTTACGTAATTCCAGCCTCTGTTAGGAAGACGTAGGTGGAGGTTTTGCTGCATTCTGGCATCCAGACACAAAAGGCATGTGTTGACTTTGTTGTGAACCTAAAACTGCTCTGAAATATAAAACATATTTTAAACCGTGGACAAACTGGTCGTTACTACATTATGTACTTGCACATGCTGTAGGGAGATGGTGAGTGTGGTTTGAGGCACTGAGTTGAGAAGCCTTCACAGTTGTGGTAGAATGTATGCTGGAGACACACATCTAGATGCAGGGTCCGTTTGCGAGTCTGGGTGGCTAGAACCCTCTGGTGTTTTGTGTCATTGTATTGTATATATGGAACATTTATTTGCTCATCAGGAAACTTAGAGTTGAGTGGAGTTGTCAGCCCCTCCAAATTAGCCTTATACAAAAGGAAACTGCATTTTAAAGCCTCCTTTTGGAAATATTCGTGGTATCACCCATTTATTTCCAGTAACCCGGCAGTTTCCAAGTAAGAACCACACTGAATACAACATAAGTGGAATTTTTAAGTAGTGTATTTGCTCAACTCTTGGCAGGTCTTGCTGGCTCTTCATAGCCAGCAGGTGGCCTCAGCCATTCATAGCACACTTAAAAATGTTTTACTATTAGTATTTCCTTTTACTTTTTTTGGTGATTTGTTTAGCTTCCCACTTCCCATAGTAAATTTCTGATGTCTAGCAGAAAGCCCCCAGTGTCAGCTATTGCCAACAGTGTCCTCTCCCAAGGGTTGTGTGTAGCTTAGCCAGTAGTAGGCTGTCCTTTCTTAGGTACATTTAAAACCACCACATACGAATCACATGCTTTCCTGGAAGTTTTTAATTGACTTTACCTTTAATGCCTTACCTGCCACTTGTACAATTTAAAATATCAGATAATACAGTACAAACACACACACACACACACACACACACACACCAGTTCCCCACCCATAGAAGCTTGTTCCTCTTCATCCCTCCCAAGACTTGAGTCCCGCTTCCCACCTCCCAGAGCAATTCCTTTTCACTCTCCCATCTCTCTGCTGCTGCCTCATCTCCATTTATGATCTTTCCTTTCCTTTTAGATGTAGCTTGTTTGTAATATCCTTAAGGATACAGCTTGTTTGTTTTCTTTGTTTTTAGTCTTCTGTCATCGGCACTGTTGTAAGGCAAGGTCTTACAAGGTCTCACTAAGCTGACCTTGACCTAGCTTTTTAGTGCAGGCCACCCTCAAACTCACCATCCCCTAGTCTCAGCTTTCCAAGTGTGTGCAGCCATACTCTTCGAGGTTTTGAGGTTTCTCTTGATCTGCCCATTTGTTTGTTTATTTGTTCTTTAGAGACACAGTCCAGTTAAGATTGGCCTTAACTCCTTTGTGGCCAGGGATAACCTGGGTTTTGATCTTCTTGTCAGTTCAGCTGTGTGAACACGCACAGCTTCCATGGTGCTGGGGTCAAACTTAGGGCTTCAGGAATAGGAGGCAAACAGTGTAGCCACTGAACTATATTCCTGACCTTTATTATTATTAGCACTACGTAACCCATTATTTTAAAGTTTGAACAAAATCATATTAACATTAAACTTATAGTCAGTCAGTCAGTCAGTCAGTCAGTCAGAATCTCCTGACTCCCAGCTGCTGAGATTTTTTTTCAGTATTCAGATCATTGAAAGGAAGCCTCTCCAAGTTTTGGATTAGAAGTATGAAAAAAACCATGGAGTGTATACTGTCTGACTGTAAGTGTGGTCATTCTGTCTTTTCAAGCCTCTAAGTCCTCACCACTGTTGTCTCCATTAAGGAAGAGAAAGAAGAAAAGGGGAAGTAGGGGTAGGGGTTGATGGTATTTTTCCCCCCTTCCCAACATAAAAATCCTGATATATTTCCACTTAACAGTTTTCTTAGTTTCTTTTTCCCTCCTCTTGTATCTTACTGTAGATGAAGATCTGATAAAGTATGGCTGGCCTGAAGATATTTGGTAAGTAGCAGTTTTTATTCTGTTTCATTCAGATTGTCATTTAGATTTCAAACTTAGTGATCTATCTACAAGCTGCCTATAATTTAAACACATGGTCCGTCTACATGGTGTTTTAGATCCTGGAGTTCCTGAGTGAATGGTCACTGTGCTCTTCAGTGTTCACCCTGTGGGTGTGGGTGGGCTCCCAGCACAGCTTCTCAGCCGCGGTCTTGTCCATGTTCACCCTCCACTGCTTATTCTCTCTCTGAAACCCAGTCTGACCACGTCAGTGGATCTCATGCTCCCTGGAGAAGTTCTCAGGTACTGTTTACTTGGGTATGATGGCAGTAGTGGACATGTTTCAAGCACTTTACTGCCAAACACTGTCAAGTGTCAATACATTTAATTTCACAACAACCTATGCAGAGTTGTCCTGTGCCCACCTTTCTGATGAGCAGAACAGGTCTACACTGGTTATTACTGGCCCAGCCCAGGCTCTCACAAGCCCAGCTCAGCTTCTAAATGGTTGATGTTGCTTTTCCTTACCTTAGGGCACCGTTCTTCCTGGTTCAGTTCACTGTGCCTTGCCTCTGTCCCTCTTCCCCCTCACAGCCCCAGGCCCATTGCTGTAACTGTCTACAGACCTTTTCTCCAGCTGTGATTTCCCATCTCCTGATTTCCTTATAGTACTAGTTCTGTGAGGTTGGATGGCCACTTTTCAGAAGAGCTGGTTCAGCTTTCAGTAAGGTGGGTGGCCTTGAGCATTTAACAGGCTGCTGTCTTACAGACAGTAACTCAAGCTCCCACTTACATGCGACTCTGCTCAGAAGCCCCATGTATCTGTGGGGGCTCCCCAAACAGTCTCTTGAACTTTTATCTACTTTGTTATGAAGGGCTCTAGTTCATGGCTTCAATGGACATGTTCTCCTGTCATTCCAAAGTCTACACTGAGAACCAGTGGCAGAAACATGAGAAATTTGAAAGGTTTAAAAAAACAAAACTATTCCAGCACAGTGTCCTAGTTCTGCACTCAACTGTATCATCAAGTTAGACACTGCTTAGTTAGGGCCCCCTCATTCAGGTAAGCAGATTGTACCACTGGGAAATTCTGGCCTTCCTTCAGAAGGCCCTACAACCTCCATAGGACAATGATTCACCTGCTTTGTGAACGAGAGGTCGTTAGTGCTAGCACATAACAAGAGTTTATACTTGACTCACTCGCTGCCTTCGTAGAAACGCATGCTGAAGGCTTCCTCGTCGTGAACGCTTCCTTGTCTCCCCTTTGAATAGCTATCATCCCCAGCTACAGCCTCTCTGATGCCAGTGTCTGTACCTCGTGGGTAGGTAGTTACCTGCTATTCTCTTGTCCCCCTTTATTTTTTTCGAGGTAGAGTTTGACTCTATTCCAGGCTCTCCTGGAACTCACTCTCTTGCCTCAGTCTTCCAAGTGCTAGAACTATAGTTACTGTGTTCATCTGTGCTGTACATTACCCTACAGATGGACGCAGAGCTGCCTAAGAGAAAAGGTTATATATTCAGATACACCTGAATTGCCATACCTTTTATTTTAAACTTTTTTTTTTTTTGGTTTTTCGAGACAGGGTTTCTCTGTGTAGCCCTGGCTGTCCTGGAACTCACTCTATAGACCAGGCTGGCCTCGAACTCAGAAATCCGCCTGCCTCTGCCACCCAAGTGCTGGGATTAAAGGCGTGTGCCACCACTGCCCGGCTTAAACTTTTTAAAAAAAAAAATTAAACAGGTAGAATTTCTAGTTTATTAAGACAGATTTCTAATTTAAAGCCCACACTAGTAAATTACAGCTTTAGTTATTTATTTGTTTATTTATTTAAGATTGAGGCTCGACAAGCTGAGAGCTACCTAGAGTTCCCTTTGGCACCTTTAGTATTTCAGGGATGAATGACCAAAGCTCAGCACAGTTGACTTTTACTTTCAGAAGCTGTTTGAGAACTCAAGGAAGCTGGAGTAACCCCACACCTCAGGGCCCATTCCAGTTCATGTGCTGTCAATCCTTAGGATCTTCCAGGGAGCCCATCAGCCGTGCAGCGTTTTAACCTGGTATTCTCTGATGCTGGTTTGGAGAATTTACCCGTTTCAGCATCTTGAGTCTATCCTGGTAAACCTTCTGAGGTTCCTTTAAGCAAAGAACTTTTTAAGGATTAAATGTGATTAGAAGCAAATTAGTTTTTAAGTGAGGAAAAGAGGAAAGATGTGTCCTTGCTGCCCCCAGACTGCCTAATGAATAATATTTTCACAGACCTCACTTTAAGGAATTGAACCGCTCCCTGGGCCTCTGCACCCTCTGGTAATTGTTGCTCTTCTAGTGAAAACATTAGTCTCTGAATTAGGGATATAAAGGTGAGCAGGAATGAGGACATGACAAGGATGCAAGGCTACGAGTGGACGTACTCTAAACTCTGAGTGAGGGTTCTTAGTAAAACTAGAAAGACTTTTTACAGGAACTCATTTGTGCCGAATTGTTTCAGGAGTGGGTATTTCAAACCTGTACCTCTGTCTGCCTCTTTGCCCTTTGTAGATATATGAAAGCCTGAAGATGGCATATCCAAGCTGTGAAAAGACACCATGACCACAGCAACTCTTAATATGAGAAAGCATTTACTTGGGACCTTGCTTACAGTTTCAGAAGTTTAGTCCATTGTCACCATGGCAGAGTATGGTGGCTCACATGGAACTGGAGCAGTAGCTAAGAGCTATATCCTGACCTCCAGGCAGCTGGCAGAGGGAGAGAAACTGGGCCTGACTTATGCTTTTGAAACCTCAAAGCCCACTCCCTCAGGGACACACTTAAGCCAGCAAGACCACACCTCCTAATCCTTTCAAAGAATTCTACTCTCTGGTGACTAAGCATTCCAGTATGAGCCTGTGGGGGCCATTCTTATTCAATCCACCACTCTAGCCATGTTACTCCTATGTGTGCTTTCATGACATAGGGATGGACTCGTTAGCATATATTGAGTTATTTTGGTATTTAGGAGCATTCCATTTAGGAGAACTTGAAGAAAAAAACAGAATCTAATACAGCTACTCTTGCTGTGTAGGAAGAGCTGTTATTAATAAAGAGCTGTCACTAAACAAGCAGGAGCCAGAATGGCAGGTGCACCTTTTCAGTTGACGTCTGTTCATAGCATAATATTTTTCTTAAGATCCTGAAAGGAGAATGGGATGTATAAAATTTCTAGATTTGTAAAAGATAAGAATTTTTCTGGACAGAAAAATGCTCAGCTAAAGGTGACAATTACTATGAATTTTGCATGGGAATGCAAATGAGTACATGAACAGCTTGGAAAAACATGACTCACATATGATGTAATGTCCATTTTTGGCTATCAGTAATGACTAAGGATAAGAGGCAACATAAGTCATTTGCCCAAAGTTTGAATATGGCTCTATATCCAGAACTAATAACAAGATACTTAGCTTCTTTGGGGGCATTATCTGAGTCTTCATACTAAATATAACTGAATATTATGTATATATATAACTTGGTATATCCTGTACTGAGTGTGTGATCCTTTTAACACCTAAAATAGAACTTGATAACAAGAAAATGCCTGGGGAAATCTGTAATGGGATCCACTGATGCTTCCTTTCTTAGGTTTTTGTTTGGTTTTGAGATAGGTTTTCCCTAAGTAGTCCAGGCTGACCCTAAACTCCTGGTACTACTGCCTGCTGGAACTACAGACCTTTGGAAACCACCGTTTCCATAGGCTTCCCCAAACCTTGTTAGGAACAGTACCCACGCCGGGCATTTAATCCAAGTGTTTAATCCCAGCACTTGGGAGGCAGAGGCAGGCGGATTTCTGAGTTCGAAGCCAGCCTGGTCTACAGAGTGAGTTCCAGGACAGCCAGGGCTACACAGAGAAACCCTGTCTCGAAAAAACAAAAAAAAAAAAAAAAAAAAAAAAAAAAAGAACAGTACCCACTAAAGTTAACAGAGTCACAGAGTCAGTGTCAACTGTGTGTAACCTTGTTCATTGTTGATGCTTAAATTCTAGGCCCATCTCTGTGTGTTACAAAGTGAATCAACTTTATTTGCCAAATTATATGAATGAAAAATAACAGCTTTAAAAGATTACATTAAATTGATGGACAATAAGAACCCTGCCTTAGTTAGGATTATTATTGCTGCAATAAAACACTATGACCAAAAGCAGCTTGGAGAAGAAAGGGTTTATTTCAGTTACTGTTCAGTATAACATTCACCATCAAAAGCAGTGAGCACAGGAACTCACACGTGACAGGAACTTGGAGGCAGGAGCTGATGGAGAGGCCATAGAGGAGTAGGCTTATTGGCTTTCTCAGCCTCCTTTCTTATAGAACCCAAGACTACTAGCTCAGAGGTAGCCTTACCCACAATGAGCTGGGCCCTCCCACATCAATCACTAATTAAGAAAATGCCCTACAGGCTTTCCTATAGCTCAAGCTTATTAGAGGCATTTTCTCAATTGAGCTTCCCTCTGGTGACTCTAGCCTGTGTCAAGTTGACATAAAACTAGCCAGTACAAATGCTAAAGAAAAGTGAATTTAAGAATTTTTTTTTTGTTTGTTTGTTTTTGGTTTTTCGAGACAGGGTTTCTCTGTGTAGTCCTGGCTGTCCTGGAACTCACTCTGTAGACCAGGCTGGCCTCCAACTCAGAGATCCTCTTGCCTCTGCCTCCCAAGTGCTGGGATCAAAGGCGTGCGCCACTACCGCCTGGCTTAAAGGCGAATTTTTTTCTTTTTTTCTTTTTTTCCAGAGCTGAGGACCAAACCCAGGGCCTTGCGCTTGCTAGGCATTCGCTCTACCACTGAGCTAAATCCCCAACCCCCTGAATTTAAGAATTTAATTAAAGGTTGTGTCTCACCTTATTCCCAGCACTTAGAAGGCAGAGGCAGGAGATTCTCCGTGAGTTCAAGGTTAGTCCAGTCTACATAGCAAGTACCAGGCCAGCCAGGGCTTTGTAGTGAGGCCCTCCCTCCAGAGAAAAGGGAGGAGGGTGTGTTATGGGGCATTCTGAATGATTTTTCAGAGAGTTCCAGTGCCATATAGGCTATGTTCACCCAGGGATGCCCGGGTCATCATCAGTGTGTGTGTGTGGCAGGGTGTGAGGTTGGAAGAATTCTTCGTTTGATTCATCTGGTTCATTTAACGATGTCGCCTGCTTAGTGAGCTAACTCTGATTCTGCACTCAATACTTGGTTTTGTTTGTTTTGCCATCACTTGAAACCTGGGGGTATCGGAAACCATATTGTCCTCTTCTCCAGACCTCAGTCCTGCAAAGCTTCCAGTTCAGCAACAGCGGGGTTTCACTGACTTCTCCCATCCTTTCTTATCTGAAATTCCTGCCCTGGTTTTCTTTTTGGCCCATACTTTGGTCAGACCAGCCAAATTTCAGCTCTTCCACAAAGCCTTTGGTCACTGATAGCTCTTCTTGTCATTGGAAGCTGCATTCTACCCAGGGTGTTACATATTTATTATCTGACTCACCTTGGCTCATAGCCACGCACAGCTGCACAACTCTCAAGTTTCTCTTGCCTCTCTCCAGGTTGCTGGCCAGCCTTTGGAGATGGTGACTGTCTTATACTCTCCATGGAGCCTCAAACATGATAAGTCCTAGAGAATACTGTCTTGGAATGAGATGCTTTCAATGCAAGTGGCTGAAAACATGGTTGTCTTGTTGTTGCTAAAAGTGGTTTCCTTCTTTGTAGGTTTCACGTGGACAAACTCTCTTCGGCTCATGTATACCTACGATTACAGAAGGTAACTGAATGTAAACATGCATCCATGACCTTTCCTTTAGAGATGAACATCATACATTCTTTTTGTGTGATTAAGTTGCTTAAATAATAAATGTGTTCAAAGTCAAAGATTAGTAAATATCTTCCTCCTACCCTGAAAATTGTTATGGAAAATTCTGGATGATTTCCCAGGTGGAAGCCCCACCTTGTCTAGCCAGCTCAGTGCCTCACCTGTCCCCCTGCTTGCGCTCCTCCTCAATTCAGTTGATGCTGACATCTATTTCTAGTGCCCTCTCCTCCTCCGACTCACTCAGTCCACCCGGCTGACAAGGGCTCTTGCTCCCCGTTATCAGAGTGTCTTTGGACACTCTAAAGCAGCAGTGCTAATGCAGGAACGAAGAGGCCATGTGCCCTGGTAACGCAGCCCCACCATTTTTTTCTAATTTGCTTGTATCTGTATTTTCAGTAGTTAAACTACATAGTAGGTGTTCTTGTATGTATTATGTTTTAAAAAATAAATGTATTTTGGACTTAGAAGAATTTAGAAAGTTACAAAGGTCATATGGCTTCCCTGCTGCTAGCATCTCACGTAACATGGCAGATAGCTCAACCAGCAGGCCAAATCCACTCACTACTGTCAACTAAGTTCTGGACTTGATTTGAGCAGTTTCCCCATTCATGTTCCTTTTCTCTTCCATTAAACCATTGTGAGATATCATACTGCACTCACTTGTCCCTTCTGCCCTGATTTTGATGACAGTGTCCCTTTTTTATGACCTTGACACTTCACTTAGTGATCTTATATGTGTCTTAGTTTTTCTCATGACTACATAGAATCACAGAGTAGGAGTGGCCACTCCTCCATCATGTCAGACAGTACGAACATGTTTTAACATGACTTACACTAGAGGCATGAGCCTGGGCTGCCTGGCCAGGGCTGTGCCTGCCACCTCTCTCCACCATGGCACTGGATCTCCAGACTTGGTTACTACAGATCAAGGTGGGGTCCAGCTTCTACTTAGGCAGGGACAAAATATAATTCTACGTTTTGGAATGGGGTAGTTTCATTATTTGGGGTTCATGTAGGATGGAACTCTTTTCTCTCCACCTGATTTACATAAGCGAGAACTTGTGTTTTTATCTGCCGTGGGCCCAGATGCTGTGTTCTGTTGTTCATATTTATCCAGCTCTGGTGAGATCCCTTTCAGCCTCCTGTGCTCTGCCTAACCCACCCAAACTCTTCATTATTTTCATAAATAAAAAGTGTTACTAATTTTTTTTTTTAATTTTGTTTTTGTTTTGAGACAGTCTCATTATTTAGCCTAGACTGGCCTCAAACTCAAAGAAACCTGTTTCTTCCTCCTGAGTGCTGGATTCAAAAACGTGGCATCATGCCCAGTCCAAAAACAAATTTAACAAAGTCTTGCTGTGGAGTCCTAGCTGGTCAGGAACCTACTAAGTAGAGCAGGCTGGCCTTGAACTTGTGATCCCTCTTTGGAATGCTGGGTTCCAAGCACCATGACGATAACTTATACACTAGTCTCTTGAATCTGAGCTGCAGCATCTGGCAGTGTTTCTTGCCCTCAAGTTGTATAGCGACATGCACCTGCTGTGTGTTCAGAGTGAGGTTGCAGTGAAATCACTGGGCTACATGGGAAGTGATGCCAGAAGGGTTTGGTTATGAATTAATTTGGGACCATTGTGAGTTTCAGAAGCCTGCAGTTGCCAGGCTGCGAGACTGCAGCTCAGGCTTTACGCAGCTGAGAGCTCAAGGACAGCAGTGTAATGATTTTGACCTTCTGCCTTGTGGTTTCCATCCAAAACATTGTTACTGAAAGTTCAACTTAAGCTGTTGTTTCTATTCTATCTGTACATCTGGGATGTATTTAGACTATTTAATCTTGGCCTACAGCCATGGTATCCCTGATTGATCAAATTACTTTTTAAGGTCGTGGTTTATAAACTCGATACTGTGTTGTTTTCTTGTTTGCTATTTTGATTGCCTGTAATGAGTGAATAATAGTGGCACAGTTAATAGGAAAGCTACTTTGTCAGAATTTAGGTTGTGTGCAAGTCTTCAACATTATAAACCCTTATTTAGAAATCCTTGTTTGTTTTGAAAGAAAGTTTCACTGTTGGCCATGCTGATCTTGAACTCTTGGGTTCAAAGACCTTTCTACCTCAGTTTTCTGAGTAGATGGGACTATAGGTAGGCATGCACTACCACACCTGACTTTGGCCTTTTTTTTTCTTTTTCTTTTGCCTTTTTTTTTTTTTTTTTTTTTTTTGGTCACTGTGGCTGGTCTTGAACTTGCTTTGTAGAACAGTCTGGAATCCTGACTCTGCAGCACATGACTGCCTACTTCCTCCTGTGTAGAAGGGACCAACTCTTTCCTTACTGAGTCATTGTGAGAGCTAAGACCTGGCATACCTTGAAGTTTTGCCAAGTGGCATCTAACAGGTACTGTGTGCCTTCATTGTGGTTGGAATCCAACCTAAAGCATGACAATCCAGACTCTCAGCAGTGTTTGACATTATACGGCCTTTTGGGATAGAAAAGTCACGACTCTTGGGAGCTTTGTTTAGCTCACTAGTGTAAAGTGACGCAAAGCAAAACTGTGGCCTTTACACTTTTTGAGTTCCTAGGCTCACTGTTGTGAGCTTGTCCATTGCTGCTGCTGTTGCTGCCTCCACTGGCTGCTTTATCTTCCACTGGGAGCAGCACAACAGATGAAGAACACAAGAACTTCACCCTGGTTTTGGCTGGGGGGGGGGGGTAGACAGTCTGTGAGATGTTAGTGATCCAGAACCCCAGGGCATCTGTTTCAAAGGAAGGTTACAGGGACCTCAGCCAGGAAGGCGTCTAGACCTCAGAATGGACACCATTCTCCCCCCCCCCCCCACCCCCTGCAAGCTTTCCGGAAATGAATGAGGATGGCAAAAACCACTGAGACATAACTACAGTTAATATCTTCACCATGTTTTTTATTTTATTTGTTTGTTTGTTTATTTATTTATTTTTATTTTTTTAAAAAGATACATTTATTTATTGTATGTGTATGAGTACACTGTAGCTATTCTTCAGACACACCAGAAGAGAGCGTTTGATTCTATTACAGATGGCTGTGAGCCACCATGTGGTTGCTGGGATTTGAACTCGGGTCCTCTGGAAGAGCAGTCAGTGCTCTTAACCACTGAGCCATCTCTCCAGCCCTTCACCATGGTTTTTAAAATGTTTTAAGTATAGTTTTCTGCTAGTGCCTTCTCTTAGTTCAGGTAGTATCCTGTGGTGGGCATGGTAAATTTACTTCATCTTTCAGTGTTCTGCAATCCATCTGAAGAGCCTCTGCTTGTTTATAAGCCTGTGTCCAGCAGGTAAGGCGGCAGATGCCTTGTGAGTGCTCCAGTGGCCATAAGTAACCAAGAGGATTATTTGGTTTATTTTGTGTTGCAGGGAGAGAAGATAGAAGACATTCCAAAGGAGGTTCTGATGGACTGTGCCCAGCTTGTGAAGGCCAATAGCATTCAAGGTCAGTTTGCCTAGAGGTGTTTTCTAAATCAGCATTCACTTTTTCTGTGTTTGAATCATAGTCCATTTTAGCGAGCATGAGTCTGTGGACAACAGAAGATGTTTCCGAGGAGGTGACCATTTGGAGGCTTATCAGAGAACTAAAAGCTCATACCCACTCCTCTCAGTTTGACTCTTCTTCCTCTCTTGACTCTTTGACTTTCCCCTTCCTTGAATAGGAAGTCATCCAGCTCTGCCTAAGCCTTTTGGCAGCATGGCAGTGTTGATAGCTCAGGAGATGTGTCTGCTGCTATCATTTGTCAACAGACTAAAACTAGAGATGTTTGGTTCAGTTGGTTTTTAAAATATAATTATATATGTATGTGCTTTGTGTGCATGTGTGTCTCTGTGCTATGTGTATGTCTGGTGCTCTTAGAACCCAGAAAAAGTTGTCAGATTCCCTGGAACTGGGGTTACAGACAATTATGAGTCACAATGTGCTTGTTAGGAAATTGAACCCAGATCCTCTAGAAAAACATCCAATGGGCTGGAGAGATGGCTCAGGGGTTAAGAACACTGACTGCTCTTCCAGAGGTCCTGAGTTCAATTCCCAGCAACCACATGGTGGCTCACAACCATCTGTAATGGGATCTGAGTCCCTCTTCTGGTATGTCTGAAGAGAGTGACAGTGTACTCACATACATAAAATAAATAAATCTTTAAAAACAACAACAACAAAAAAAAACATCCAATGTTCTTAACTGCTGAGCCATCTCTCCAGCTCCTTGTTTGGATATTTTGAACTGGGATCTCTATATATAGCCCGGTCTAGCATGAAACTCACTGTGTGGCCCAGGTTGGCAACTCACAGTTCTCCTGTTTCAGCTTCCTGGGTACTGGAAGTATAGATATGTCTAACTATACCAGGCTTAGAGCCAGAGTCTTTTTTTTTTTTTTTTTTTTGTGGTTTTTCGAGACAGGGTTTCTCTGAGTAGCCCTGGCTGTCCTGGAACTCACTCTGTAGACCAGGCTAGCCTCGAACTCTCGAACTCAGAAATCCGCCTGCCTCTGCCTCCCAAGTGCTGGGATTAAAGGCGTGCGCCACCACCGCCCGGCAGAGCCAGAGTCTTTAAATCATGCCTTTTCTTTTCTCCTCCTCTCCCATGCTTTTCATTTAATTTGTGAAAGTTTTGAGTCATTTGACTCTGTTGTCCTCCTTTACCCACAAAATCTTATTTAGCCAATCTGGGTGGTCTGTGAGTGTCCTTATCTTTCAGGAGCTCTCTGAGTGAGTCTTGTGTGTGCAGTGTGAATTGGGAACAATCACCGTATGTGTTTTGGGTAGTAGTTAAAAATACTGGGCTTGATGCCTGTGTAATTTTAGATAAGATTAAATCTAATGGAAAGGTCTAGAAGGATAGTCACGAGGACAGGGATGGCAGTTATGGGGAGGGTTGAGAGAGGTGTGGGTTTAAACACTTGAGCTAATAGACAAGGTTTTAGGGGTAGGATGCAGACCTGACTAGCAAGAGAGAACTGGTTCTAAATGAGGTTGGAGGGTGATCCAGAGCAAGCACAGCTGATGACAGGCACTGGAGTCAGTGACTACACAAGCAGAGCTTGGCAGCCTTCCTTCATGTACTCTGCTAGCTGTAGTCCCAGCGCAGGCAGAGAACAGAGGGGAAGAATCATGACACGGGATTATTCCCTTCCTTCCTCAGCCTTCCACAGTGATCCATCACACAGCAGAAAAGGAGCTAGGCCCCAGGTTCCACTCAGTACCAGAGGGCAGTGCTGAGGACTGAAGAGAACTGTGAGCTTGCAGACGACACCCCACTTGCAGCTCTGTAGTTACCAAGTTCTCTCTGCTTTAGTACCAAGAGGACGGGGATTACGCTTGCTGGTTTCTGCTAAATTGGCTCATTTCGGTTCAGACTCATAGGTTTTACTTAGGGGCAAAAGCTCCACTGATAACCAAACAAGCCTTCCTAAACATTTCCTCAGTGTCAGGAGCCAGGACCCTTGCTTTTTCTACTCTAATACTTTGGCCTCGTGTTCAATTTCCCATTCACCTTTGGTGTCTTGGACCATTGGAAATGAGCTCTTCTCTTTTTTTTTTTTTTTTTTGGTTTTTTTTTTGGTTTTTTTTTTTTTGAGACAGGGTTTCTCTGTGTAGCCCTCGCTGTTCTGGAACTCACTCCGTAGACCAGGCTGGCCTTGAACTCAAAAATCTACCTGCCTCTGCCTCCTAAGTGCTGAGATTAAAGGCATGCGCCACCACTGCCCAGTGGAAGTGAGCTCTTCTTAAGCCTTGTCTGGGGTGGATGGTTTTTTGCTGTGGGTAAGAGCTGTGCAACTCAGTCTCATGTTTCCTATGTGCTGAAGACAGTCTCTCTTGGCAGGCTGCAAGATGAACAACGTTACTGTGGTTTACACACCATGGTCTAACCTGAAGAAAACAGCTGACATGGATGTGGGGCAGATAGGCTTTCACAGGCAGAAGGATGTAAGTGTTCATACCTCTGCAGGAGGCCTGACTCCAAGCTGAGTGTCCTGTGCTTCCTATGGGTGTTAAACTGGGTGGCTAAAGCCCTGGAAAGCCAAAGCCATGCCCTCTTAGGTGAGAGAAAAATAATTAAGACTAAGTACTTTTCCCCTTACCTTCCTTAAAGGTAAAGATTGTGACAGTGGAGAAGAAAGTGAATGAAATCTTGAACCGTTTAGAAAAGACCAAATTGGAGAAGTTTCCGGACCTAGCAGCAGAGAAAGAAGGCAGAGATCGCGAAGAGAGGAATGAGAAGAAAGCCCAGATTCAGGAAATGAAAAGGAAAGAGAAAGAAGAAATGAAGAAGAAAAGGGAAATGGATGAACTTAGGTACGCTGGGGCCGAGGCCTTGCTGTTCACTCGGGTTCTCCCCACAGGCTTTGAGGATAATGCCCAGTGGCTGGAGGCCACATATGAGCTTGGAGAATTGACTGAGTTGTTAAAGGTGGTTGTGTTGATGTGGTGGATCCCCGTTAAAGAGGTGCTGGGTGTGAGTGAGCAAAACGAAAGGTTTTACCTCACCATAAGCCTTGGGGAAGGAAGAGGTATAGGAGTGCATAGTCCTGAGCAGCTGGGCCCCTAGAACCACCATGTGCAGCCGAAGAACTCAGAGCTGCTTTCAAATGTTTTTTTTTTTTCTTTCTGCCTTTTGAAAGTTGAATGTGTTAATGTGACGAGACCGGCTTCAGTGTCGTACCGTTTTAATCAGCAGGTAAATTCCGGTTTGGCTCCTGACATCTTAGTGAAGGTGGCCATGAGAATGCCGACTGTATCAGTTTTCTGTTGCTTCTAGAACAAATGGCCCCAAATTTAACTCCTCAAAGCCATGTACAGACCTCTAAGAAGTTCTGACTAATCAAAACAAATGAGAAATCAGCAGGCTGTTCCTTTCTGGAAGCTCTAGAGGAGACTCTTCGGTTTCCAGAGGCTGCCCACATTGTGTGCCTTGCTGCCCGGTCTCCTGCCTTCTCTGGTTTTAAGGAGCCATGTGACTAGATCTGACATACTTGCACCATCCTCCGTCATCTCCCTGTCAAAAAGAACTGTCACACCTGCAAAGTGTGTGTCCACATAAGACAACATGTCTGTTGCTTCTCGAGATTTGGATGCGAGCATCTTGGGGGGAGGGGAGCCTTGGAAGCATCATTCCACCTGCCACATTGAATGTGTGCTGCTGCACTTGAGCAGGCCCAATTGCCTTGTTTATGTTTTTGAGTGTGGTGTTGGCTTTTTTGAGATAGTTAGCCTCAAACTAGTAAAGCATCTGCCTCCTGAGTGCTGAGATTACCAGCATGTACCAGGTACCCCTTGCTTTTTCTTTTTTTTTTTTTTTTTCATTTTTTTCTCTTCTTTATGTAGTGCTACGGGTTGAATTAGGGCCTCATGCACATGGCAAATGCTCTAGCATAGAGTTCTGTCTCTGTGGCCCCTCTTGTTTCCCCTAAGAAGAAATTGTCTTTGTGACTTGTAGTCATGGAACTCGTAGGTTTCAATGGATGCCATTTGTGATATGTGCACCAGAAAGGACACAAGTGCGGGGTGGCATCAAATTAAACGCCATGTATCTGTCCTTGCTCTGACCCAGCTTTCTCTTAATACCCTGGGTTCTTAGGAAGCTTGCTGGGCAAGGGCATAGCTGCAAGTGTTCAGGTGTGATGTACCTGCTTGTGTTCCTGTCCAGGTTCTGCTGAGTTTGGAACTCTTTTAAAGTTGAGCGTTCAGATGGAGAGCTCAGGGAATGTTGTCTTGGACTGGTCTGCTGACTGAAGCAGGCAGATACATAGACTTGGTTGGATAACTGATATTGCCTACAAATGGGAGCCTGCTCTAAGTTGTTAAAATGGTTCACTCTGGTAACGTTTGTGAGTTCTGGCAAGCAGGATTTGCAGCTGTCTTAGTTAGGGTTTTTATTGCTGTGAAGAGATACCATGACCACAGCAACTCTTACAAAGAAAAGCATTTACTTGGAGCTTGCTTAGTGTTTCAGAGGTTTGTTAGTCCACTATCATCATGACAGGAAGCATGGTGGCACACAGGCAGACATAGTACTGGAGGAGTAGCTGAGAGTTCTACATCTTGTTCCCAAGGCAGCAGGAAGAGAGATTGACATTGGGCTGGGTTGACCATTTGAAACTTCAGAGCCCCACACCCAATGACACACTTCCTCCAATGAGGCCACACCTTCTAATCGTGCCACTCTCTATGAGCCTACAGATGGGGCTGGGGGTGGCATCATTTTGATTTAAACTACTACAACAGCTAATTCTTGTTTTAGTTTGGAGTAGGGGAAAATTGAAGAAAATATGCCCTTCTGTTTCCTTCACATCTTTAACTGTTTCATTTAGAAACATGGATGTTTTATGTTAGAAACACAGTATCACTTTATATCTTGCTAAGGAGGAATGGCTGACACCTTTTTTTTTAAAAAAAGATTTATTTATTTCACTTATTTGAGTACACTGTAGCTAGTCTTCAGACACACCAGAAGAGGGCATCAGATCCCATTACAGATGGTTATAAGCCACCATGTGGTTGCTGGGAATTGAACTCAGGACCTCTGAAAGAGCACCCTGTGCTCTTAACTGCTAAGCCATCTCTCCAGCCCATGGCTGACACATTAAACATTTGCTATCTGATTCATATCTTGCTGAAAGTTATAGCTAAATATGTTGTCTGATTCTTAAATCAACACATTACAAAGCTCTGCTGCCCTGTAGTTAATTTATACAATATTCATTCAGAATGAGTCGAGTCATATAGAGATGCTATGATTCATGGTGGAGGCAGAGCTGTCCTCTGACCTCCACGGGCATGCTGCACTTACACACACATACATACAAGACATAATTTCTTTTTTAAGTATCAAGCAAAAGTGACGAGGCTTTGAGTGAGTGAGTCAGTGAGTTCATTTTTTTGAGACGGCATGTCTCTCTGCACCCTGGCCTGGCCAGGAATTCACTGTGTATCCTAGGCTGACCTCACACTTGTGGCAGTCTCCTGTCGAAGCCTCCTGAGTGGTAGTTGTGTAGTCATGGTGACTTGTGTTTTAGTAAGAGCTCTTTGCCTGGTAGATTATAGAGGGACCCAGAAGCAGTGGAGCCAGAAGTTAACTGATTGGCAGTGGTCCAGACCACGGATGAAGCTTGGACTCAGTGAGAGGGAAATTCTCTGGCAAAGTCGTACGACTTGGTTTGATGGTAGTTTGAGTTGAGGAGCAAAGGTGAGAATGACTCCTGGGTTTGAAATGGAATAGACAGTGATGCCATTCTAGGCAACAGGAGAATGAAAGTGTTTGTTTCCGTAGGTGAATAGATTTTGAGTTGGATATAGACCAAAAGTCTGGAACTGTCTTTTAGGAATCTCAAAAGGTGTTGGGGCGGTTGGGTTAATAGGGAGTGCAGAGGAAATGTGGACTTCAGAAAGGCTGCATGCTGCCTTCTTCAGAGTGGAAACAGTTAGCCCACTGAGCCTTCCACCAACGTGGTGACCATCTGTTAGATTCTTGTTGACACAGTAATCTCATTTGGGTTTTAGAGTGCTGGCTACCCACAAAATGCTTATTGAGAAATAACCTCAATTTGACCCTTTGCTTTCCTTCTAGGAGCTACTCATCACTAATGAAAGCTGAGAACATGTCCTCAAATCAAGTATGTTCGTGTTTCTTCCTCTACTGTTGTGCCTTGAAATATTTCACAGAGAGTCTTTAGTAGTTGAGTTATTGACTCTCATAGTGTTGCAGATTGCTCACCTTGTTTACCATGATTGGCAGCTAGTATGGAAGAGGAGGCTGAGTGTGTGTGTGTGTGTGTGTGTGTGTGTGTGTGTGTGTGTGATTGTGATTACCTTCCTGTCCTGTGGTCTTGTGTTTGCTTTGTATGGGTCACTTTAAAGAAAGGGTCTACTACCTCACCTGTTGTGAAGGGCAGGCCTATTAGTATTACAAGGTATGTCAGTCAGCTTTCCCTTTCTCTAACACAATGCCTAGGATAATCAATTTAGGAAGAAAGAGCTTTATTTTCACTTGGGATTTTAGAGGTTTGGGGCTATGGTCAATTGCCCTGCTGCTTTGGGTCCAATATTAAGACAGCATTGTGATGGGAACACAGAAGGCAAGCTGCTCATCGTACAGCAGCTGGGAGCAGAGGTAAGGAGGAAGGCAGGAGTCCAGCACCTGTGAAGGGCATGCCCCGGGTACCTGACTTTCTTCACACTGGACACCACTTTTAAATGTTCTGCCTCCCAGATGAGGCACAGGCTGGATAACAGGTCTTCAGCATGTGGCCTTTGGGGACATTGCCAGACCCGAACTGTGGCACAGCGCTGTAGTCCAATTCCTTTCTCCTTTCTTAGTTCCTATTCCTATTTCCAGGCTTTGCAAAAAAAGGAAGGAAGGAAGGAAGGAAGGAAGGAAGGAAGGAAGGAAGGAAGGAAGGAAGGAAGGGAAAAAAGAAATTAATTTCCATTTATTAAAATCCTGTACTAATGGTGCTGTAGACTTCACAGTATAGTTAAACAGAATCAAAATTACCCATTTTAATTTATATACCTGTCTCAAAAAACCAAAATAAATAAATAAATAAATAAATAAATGTATGTATGTATGTACCAAGTATTGAAACCATATGTTACAGCCTAAATACCAGCAGTGATTCTTTTCATGCTTGCTATATCCTGGACTAAGTGTTGGCATGTTTCAGGGTTTTGTTTTGTTTTTCATATAGGTTTTTCCTTTGTTGCTCAGGCTGCCATGAAACTCCCCTTACCCAGTCTGGTCTCAGACTCACAGTCTTACCGCCTCTGTTTCCCAAGTGCTAGGATTACAAGCAGGCACCACCACATTTGGCTCAGGTTCTTTCATAATACAGCTTGTAAAATGTATGCTTTAGATTGTATTGTCAGATATGCTAGATGTGAATTGCAAGTTCGGTTTAAATGAAAATTAAGTTTAAAGCCTGTGTTCTTCAGCCATATCAGCTTTGTGTGCCCGGTGTCTACTATTTCAGCACAGATAAAGAACCTGCCATTACTACAGAAAGCTCTGCTAAGTGGCTCAGTTTCCCACTTAAGGTTATCTACTCAAATTCCAAGTTAAGTGCATGATTGGAGTCAGTAGGATTTTAGACATTGCTTATGTCCAAGAACCAGTAAGAACACATCTTTACTACCACATCTTTGAAGAACTAAGTTTTTAAGGCTCCTTTGTGAATCAAGGTATGACTGTGTAAATTATTTCTGAAAATTTCCAAAATAGCACTGTGTAGTTCATTAGGACTGAATGTGAAGTCAAGAGATTTAAACTGTCACTGGATTGAGCCTACTATATTTTTAGCCTTTTTAGGGGGATTATTGCTCAGTGTAGAGACATTACCTCATGAAGTTGTCGTAACCTGTAAACAAGGGTGTACCCTGATGCTAGACTTGGTCGTGTCATAGGTAATTGTCATTGGTCTTACTTGGAGTCCTGAATTTGTTTAGCCCTCTGCATATATTATTCTTGGCTTTCCAGAAACTCAGAACATTTTAACCTTAGCAAAGGCCTGTGATAGATTCCAAGTCAAATTCAGTAAAAACTAATGCTCTTGTCTCTGCTGTGCCGACTGAAAACTTTTTGAAACTTTATTTAGAAGTGGCTTTCTACTAGAAATCTGGCCTGTGTTTCAGCCTTGAACCTATTGTTCCCACATGTTCTTCTAGAATTGGAAACACATATGTGCATATGTACACACACTCATATGTACACACACATATGTTTGCACACACCATCTCTTGAAATTTTTGAGGCATTGGTTCCAAGGCCCTAGGAATACTAAACTCTAAAATCTGTAGATGCTCAAACCCCTCATGAAATAGAAAAATATTCTCGGTAACTCAGGTTTTCTCTCCCCATGTGCTTTATTCTGAGTATTATCACCTATACCAAATTCAGTGTAAACGCAGGTGCACATAGTTGTCACACTGCAGTGCTTACAAAATGTTGACAAGAAAAAGGCCAGGGCCTGTGTTTGTGGGACACCTAAGTGTTTTCTGTGTTTGGTCAAATCTGCAGATATAGACCCCACAGATATGAGGACCAGCCATGCATGTTTATGTACAGATACTGTAATTAAGAATCTGAAGATGACTACAAACACTGATGAGACAAACGCTCCCTGCTCACTCCTGCTCTATTACTGGCTGCCATGCGTGAGGTGTTTGAATGGAAAGGCTTCAGTTTCCTTGGAACATTTTCTGTTCTGTTACCATCCTGTATTGTACAACCTAATTTGTAGTGTGATCACTTGATCTTCACTCAGAGGCCAATGCTCAGGTGAGATAGGACTGTACAAGTTCATCAGGAAGAGGACTGGTCTCTGTTTGAGCTAGATGTTCATCAGAATTTTTAGTTTTCCATTTAGCATAACCTTTGATCTGTAATTTTTAGTCCTTCTTTATGTGTGCTTGGCAGCATAGATCATTGCTATTGCATTCCTCGTGTTCATCAGTTAGCACTGGACGACAAGAGACCTGTCTGTCTGTAAGCTGAGTAGTAGAGGGACTGGAAATCCGAAATGTGATAGTTGTCCAAGGACAGTCCTGGACCGTATACACACAGTTAAACATCCCTGGAGTGCCAGAGCACCTGCCCACACATGCAAGGAGTAGCCCCTGTGGGGAGTGTGCACTGTCCTTGTTACCAGCTGGGTGACCTTACTGAGTTGTTTGTTGGATGTCTCTGATGCTGCTCTTGACGTGTAGGACTCTGAGGCAGTCAGTCCTACTACTGGGACAAAACACAAATAGTTGAGCCAACTTTCCCATTTTTCTGATTCCTGTGCTAATAAAAGAGAAGCACATAGGTTGGAGGCATGGGTCTGCAGTAAGCAGAGCTTTCTGCTCTTCCAGTAGACCTGGGTTCTATTCCTGGCACCCACACCGCAGCTTACATCTCTTAAGATTCCAGTTCCGGGGGATCCAGTCCCCTCTTCTGACTTCCCAAGGGGTTTTGCATGCATATGGTACATGTACACATATACTAAAGTAAATGAGTTTTAAATTAATCTAATTTAATGTATTATTTTGCGTGTGGGTGTTTTGTGTGCAGGTGTGGTGTACATGCGTGGTGTACATGCATGCAGTGCCCTAGAGGCTAGAAGATGTTGGATCCCATTGAACTGGGATTATGAGCCACCATATTGGTTCTGGGGATCGAACCTGGGTCTTCTGCATGGGAATAACAAATGCTTTTAACCACTGTGCCATCTTTCCAGCTCCTAAAATAGATATATATTTTAAGAAATGGGGAAAGAGGAGCAGCAGAGAGCAAGCCACTGAATGAAGCCAGAGAAAAACAGCCTTTATAGAAACTACCATTTTCTAACCCACCTACTGTCTTTCTACCATTTCCAACAAGGATCCTTAAAAGAAAAAGAGACCTAAGTCCAATTCCTGCCTCTGGCAGTACTGGTGTTAAGCAATAACAGATAGAAATCGAACCAGTGCAGTGGCCACTAAGTGCTACACAAGCCAGCCCCTGTGCCAGGAAAGAACCTTGCCAGTGTGTGCTGATTAAAAGCAGCTGGGGCTTATCAGCCATGCACTAAGCTTGCCCTTTCCCCATGTGCTGTGGTGTGTAAGAGACCAAGCTGGCTAGCTTGATTATAGCCTATGTTTGGCTTATTAAGGACTTTGCCTATTAAAAAGGAAGGAAAACAGTCAGCTTTCATGTGAAATTACAAATCTAGGAAAACCAGGAGGTTCAAAATACTGAGATTTAGGACACATATTTTATATATGACAGTGTTATTAGCTTAAGGAAGCAAGATACTGTTTATATAGTATACTTGTGAAAGATTAGTCTTTTTCTAAAATTTGTGTGTGTGTGTGTGTTTCACATGATCTGATAAGACATGAGCTGTGTTCAGAGAGTAAAGTCACCCCAGGAGAACAGGTTCCATACCCCTCTCTCAGTCACTCTAAAGTTCAGGATTTATGCTAAATGATTAGCTATTCACTGTCCTTCTGCAGAGTCATGATTTTGTCCCACCATCTACCAGTTGGAGTGGGCTTTACATTGTAACATGGAAGTTAAAGTAACTTGAGGAACTTGAAAGGTGTGTCTTCTCTCCTTAGTCATCTAAGAGGTAATGACAGCAGGCAGTGGTGAGCTTGGTTATCTTCCTCCTGGCTTTCTGCACTCCTGCACCCTGAGGTTAGGACTAAGAAAGGGCTGCGGGTTAGCATGATGATTATGACTCTCTGCTGGGCTCAAGGCCTTCACACTCTCTCTTTTGTCTCCTGCAGGATGGTAATGATTCTGATGAGTTCATGTGAGCTGAGCAAAGGACTCTGGGAAGACATGAATGTGCAGACTATTACAGAGCTTTTGATTTCATCTCGGTTCTGAATTACAGAAACCAACCAACCAAAATTCTACTTTCATTCTACATTGACATCATTGGTTTTTGGAGTTTTAAAAAAAAAGAAATGTCATCTTTTTGCTGATGAAAAGAACAGATGTATAATATAGTTGAACTTGAAGAAAACATAAGTTTAGGAAAAGGAGAATATTTTTGGCAGAACATACGTCAGTACCTCATGAAGGCTGTCTGCCTTTGTTTTTGAGATAGACATTGGAGCAGACCTACTCTGGAAAGTGTTTCTGTGGCTGTGGTCTGTCCTGGAAACAGACGTCATGAAGTACGTTTCCTATTTCTAAAATTACTTCTGTGAAGAAGACAGTTGGTGGCTTACTCAGGCCAGGACCCTCTGACGACGGTTTCCTGACTAGAAGAAAGGCATGTGGGTTTGAAGGCAGCAGCAGTGCTTACTTTACTTGGATTTCAATATTGGCAAGGTCTCTCTTGCTGGCATCAGAGTAGCTGACCCAGCTCTTAGCTTATTCTAAGGGTTATGCTCTCACTCCTGTGAGGTGAGGCCCATCTCAGCCTCGTAGTTACATAGTTGATCTTAGCCAAGCTTGGGAACTCATCATCCGAAATCATAGATGATCCAGGCCGCAGATGTGACAACTAGACTCTGAAGCCATTTCTGTGTGTGGAGGGAGACAGGAAAGGGTGCGCTGCTAGTTGTGAGAGTGACACACATTGCCTCATAATTGTCTTGACTGTATCATGAAACAAAAGTCCACCGTGGGTTGCAAGCTTTAGAAACAATCAAGCGTTTTTCCCTAGCCAGCCAAGGCATCTGTTCCCTTACTTTGGAATAATATTTACGTTGAGTTGTAACCCTGGTTGTTGGCTCAGTGATTTCACACGTAGCATTGGTACTGGTCTGAGCCACCTGCTATCCAGTAGATACCTTTTTGTTATAGTGTTTAAGGGAACCCCTGTAGAGACTCAACAGAGTAGTGAGAGAGGAGCGAGAGCAGAGCCACAGGGTAGTGAGTGGGATGCAGATCCATAGTCTAGCACACCACACAGTGCCCACAGCACTGGGGTGCTGAGCCAGCAGAAAGGATTTCTTCAGCAGATGTACCAGCTGTCATCACTGACGTATGGGCAAAACCAGACCGATGACCCCTGGGATTCCAAGTTGAGTATGAGTTGAACTGGAAAATTCCCTGTGGCATAACTTGTTAGCCAGTTTGAGGAGAGCCAATTTGAGGGGTATGAAAGTCAGTACCAGAGATCAGTGTGTGTGTGTGTGTGTGTGTGTGTGTGCACGCGCGCGTGTGTGTGTGTGCACGCGCGCGTGTGTGTGTGTGTGTGTGTGTGTATGATATTTAGACTGGAGTTCTGTGATTTAAAAAAATTATAATAAAGTATCATTTTTATCAGAAAGGACATTGATATATGAATTCTTAGAACTTGTTTTCTACAAAAGAGAGCAGCCCCCACCTCCAAGCTGGTTTGAGGCTAATTGTGCTGTAAAAACTCATTTATTATAGGTTCCTTCTGTGAACTCAAGGTCTTATGCATTTGTGGTAAGCATTGGGCCACAGCCCCATCCCCCTCCGGCTCTGCCTTGGGGCCTGCAACGGTGGCCTCCTATTGTCAGATCTGAGCATGGAGAAGTTTGAACTGAAGGCAGGACTGCCCAATCCCACAAGCCCTCCTGTCTAGGGATGCCTGTAAAGTTCCAGCTCCTTTAGCTCTTGGCTGTAGACACCTCAGTAGGAGGCTTTGCTGCCAACACTGCCTGTGTCCCCTCAGCCTCTGTATCTACAGGACCTTGAACACACATAGTGGGAGCTTTTGAAGACTATCCCTTCAGTGTCAGATGCTCAACTTACATTCGAGGGTAAGTAGTTCAAAAGGCAGCTCACAGGTTTAACATTATCCGGGCCACTGCTGAGTTCTCAGGGTTGCATACCTGACTCTCACTCCTCACCATTTTAGCTGTTCCCCTGCCTCTCTGCCCCTGTTTTATATTTTTCCAGTTCAGTTGGTCTCAGGGAAAAGCAGAGACCTTTTCTTTTAAGGACATAGTTCAGGAATCAGACTGCCATCATCAAAGCCATCTGTTTTTGCTACTGGCTTGTGTCCTAAGTGTTTGATAAGGAAGTTCCAGATTGTTCTATGTTTATGAGTTACCCCTTTGATCTCTCTGTGTGTGAGTGTCCCCTACAATCTCTTTCCAGTTTCCTGGCTGTGCCCTCTGCAGAGGAGGCCCGCCTAATCATTCACTTAATTAACTTCACAAGCTGCTGTAGGCACATCTGGGTAGTTTTAACTCATTTCTTACTGTTGATGTGAGATCAGATGCCTGGGCAAGGCAGGTTTGACTTGGTGCTTGCGCTTACCAAATTGGCAAGGTTTTGACATCAACAGTAGATGCAGGCTTTAAAAGTTGAACCCATCCAGAATCTTTTTGTGTTTGCTGTTTAAACTCTTTCTGGAAGTATAGATACTAGAGAACCTTTTAATTGTTCGTTGTCAGTGGTCCTGTCCCTGCTGCCACCCCCAGGAAGAAATACTGTAAGCCACACAGCAAGACTCCAGCTTCCAGCTAAACACAAAGTTGAACCACCTTTGTGTGTAAGGCGGGTGGGGGTGGGGTGGTGGTGCTCATGTTTCTTTGAGTTGGTACCCTTTAAGGGGAAAACTGAGCAGGGTGGCAAAATGGAGAAATAGTCTTCCAGTGTGTCCTTTGTCGTGATACTGAATTCTGCTTTTCTTTGAATGCAGCATATGGATAACATCCCAAAATTAAAAGTGGTCCTATTAGAGTAGATGGGTGACCTTTCAGTTTTAAAGTAGGACATAAAACAGCAAGCTACAATCAGAAATTCTAGAGTTAGAAGCTTAGATTCCAGACCTAACATCAATCTCCACCTACCTAATCCAGCTTTTGCCCAAGCAAGTTCTCTAAAGCTGTGTTTAGTGAGTGCTCTTCTTTGTGAGGCACCTGGGAGCCCAGCACAGGCAAGACTCTGGGTGCATCCTGTCATTTCTGTCGTGAGACAGTCCACCACAGACACGGTGTTCTGGAGGAGTGTTCTGTAAAACACAACAAAACCTTATCATTTGAGTAGAGCTGTATGTGCTTGCAGGATTTTTCCATGTTTGTCTTCTAGGGCTCAGCCTCTATCATAGGATGTGCATAGTAATTTTAAGAGGGTCAGGAAGAGAGCCTTGTACAGCATGTGACAAGTGATACCTTTCAGCCACTTCTGGGCCTAAGCAGAGGGAGAGAGGCAAATCAAAGGCGAGTATCACCCAAGAGTCCCAGAAGCTGAAAGGCCATGATAAAAGCACTAACATCTGCAATTTGATTCCGTATCTACCCCATAGTCTTAACTGGTCTGCCTGGACTCTGGGCTGGTAATGTTAGTCTGTTCTGTGTTGCTATAATCTTAACTTGAAGCTGGATAATTTATATGCAAAAGATTTACTTGGTTTTGATCTTGGTGACTCCACAAGGTACCATGGTACTAACATCACATCATTGTATCACAACACAGAGAAGAGGAAAGGAAAATGGTGGCATGCAGAAGGGACCAGGCATGGGGGTGGGGCAGGCTTTATAACAACCCACTCTTGGGAGAACTCCTGTGAGACCCATCAGTCCCTTCATGATGATAGAGCCCCGTTGTAGAGCTTCAGCAGTATCTCATGGACCAAGCTTCCACCACATGAACTTGTAGGGCCAACCCCAGTCACTGGAATGAAGCTACAAGTGTGAAAACTTCCTGGGTGGTTTCCCTGGTGACCAGAAGGCTCCTGGTTGGTGTTCATTCGTTCCACGGTTCACCCCTTCATCACAGCACACACTGTAGTGTTACTAAGTGTTTATAGAGAGACAGGATTTTTTCTCTCAGCCATGAATGTATTTGAATTCTTTTTTTTAAAAAAAATACACTTTATTCTTTGAGAATTTCATACATGCATACAATTTATTTCAGTCACACCCACCCTCCACTTCTCCAGTTTCTCCCAGGTCCCCTCCCATGTCCACTTTCCAACTTCATGCCCTTTAAAAAACAAAACAAAACTTCACTGGTGTTGCCCATGGGTGTGGGTGGGCTTATCTGCAGAAACATGGTCTTTAGGACCACACTCCTAAAGAAAAATGACTTGTCCTCTCCTAGCAACCACCAGCTGTCAGGAACTCTTCAGCTAGGGGTGGAGGCTCCCTGGCACACAGCTTGACACTGAAATATATGTACATTGAATTGCATGTACCTCTGTCTTCCATGGGTTACCTTTTGCCTTTCTGATTGCACAGCTGTATGAACTGTTAGAAGAACTCTGAGTTTCTCGTCCATAAAGGTTAAGACTGCATTGCACCCCAACCACACAACATAAGATAGGGCCTTACCACTGGCATGCTCTGACTGGTCCTGACTTGGCATCTTCTACATCTGTGACCAGCCATGGAATGGCAGCCCTAGGAAATACTTGTTCATTCTGGAGAGCCTTGTAACTCTCTGGTTCTCAGACCTGGTGAGTAGGTGTTAATATTTAAGGCTGGAAAAAAGAATTCTCCAAAGTCAGTTTTGTGTTTCCTTCTTTTATCTGCCCCCGGAGTTGGGAGCTGGGGCGGGGGGGGGGCGGATAAAAGCACTTTGTCACACAAGCCAGGTGATGTGAGTTTATATTCAGAGCCTGTGTAAAACAATAGAAAAAAAAAAAAAAAGAACAGTCAGATACAGCACCAGACATCTGTAAGCCTGTTGCCCCCAAGTGATATGACAGAGCAAACTTGTGGGCAGCCAGCCAACAATACCACCCAACAGCAGAAACAGCAAGAGAGATCCTGACTTGAAGCAAGGTAGAAACTCTCACTTGCAAGCATGTACACAATGTGTGCACACATCCCTGAGTTCCATGGGAAATGACCCATAGAGAAAAGTCATTTGCCTGTCTGTGCTGGAGGGTGGAGTGTGCAGCGGGAATAGGTAGGAACAGGACTCGCTCTGGGCAATTCCAGACCAGTGCCCTCTCTTGCCTTTGATTCTCTCATCCCACGCTCAGCTTGCTCTCTTAGCCAGATGGGGCCCTGTCATCTCAGCCCATCAGAGGAAACCAGGAGTGTGGGAGAGGAGATAGGGAAAAGAGGCAAGCAGTATTAGCACACCTGCCCTTCAGGATACAGCCCTTTTATGCTGTTGTGACATGTCTGTGCTCTGGGCCACCATTTGTCCACTGGAAAGTGAGGAATAAGACCAAAGCAGAGACTAAATTCCAGTGCCAGCCTATATAGGGCAGGTGACATATCTAAGGATGTCATGCAAGATGACTTCATACTGTGGCCATCCTGAAGATGCAACATGCCAGCTCAGGCAATGTGCCGCCACAGGGAAGCCAAGCTTACAGAGGAAGCCAGTGAGCTGCACTGAAGGAGCTAGATGACACAGGACAAAGGCAGTGGCTTTTCTGCCCAATCCTTTTCAGCAGGGTTTCTCTATTCCACTCTTGATTGACATCTTAGGAACAGACAAAATCCCTCAACACTCCAATCGCAACCCACCTAAGAATGGCTTCCTCTTAAAATATTTCTCTTCTACTTTTAACCAAAACTTCCATACTAAGCAATCTTCTATATAATACATCTTCAAGACACTCCCACTTTCCTCTTCAGACCTGAACCTTCCCTCTGCCTCTCCCTCTCTCTCAACAGCCAGATCTAAGGGGGTCAGCTACTGAATAGTTCAGGATCCGGTAGAGGACAGGGACTGGACAAAAGGGGAAAAGATTGGGTGTTGGTCTCCCAGGTGACATAATGCTAGTTCTTCAAAGCTTTCCTGTGGGTTCTTGGAGCTCATTCAAAACAAGTAGTAGGT